GCAAGAGAAAAGCAGTTAGTTACCTACAAGGGAGTTCCCATAAGGCTGTCAGCTGATTTCTCAAAAAAACTTTGCAGGCCAGAAGGGAGTGGCAAGAAATATTCAGAATGATGAAAAGCAAGAACCTGCAACCAAGATTACTCTATCCTGCAAAGCTGTCATTTAGAATCGATGGCCATATAAAGAGTTTCCCAGACAAGAAGAAGTTAAAGGAGTTCATCACCACCAAACCGTTATTATATGAAATGATGTAGGGTCGTTTTGAAGAAAAAGATAAAATATATGAACAAACAAAATGGCAATGAATACATATCTGTCGACAATGGAATCTACAAACAAAATGAACAGGCAGAACAGAATCATTCTCATAGATAGAGAACATTTTGTTAGTTGCCAGATGGGAGGGGGGCTGGGGGAATGGGTGAAAAAGATGAAGAGATTAAGAAGTACAAATTCATTGCCAGACTGACAAACCTCAAAGGGAAAGGGGTTGGGGCGTGGGAAGAAATAAACCAAAGAGTTTATATGCATAACCAATGGACACAGACAATAGTGTGGGAAAAGGTGGGAGTGGGGAGGAGGGGGTCAATGGGGGAAAAATGAGGAACATCTAAAATACATTCAACAATAAAGATTAAAAATAAATAAATAAAGATAAAGATAAATTTTAAAAAAATAGAACTACCAGAAAAAGAAATAAATAACATGTGAAGGAATAAATGAACAAATGAGTGGTGGGCCAATGAGCTTTTCATCCCTGTTCCACAAGCCTTTATCAAACACTTCCCAGATGCTCAGCCTTGTCTTGCAAAACGTCAGGGCCCCAGAGAGGCCTCAGCCTGGTCTGGCCTCCAACAAGTTATCATCCTGGTAGGGAACAGAGCCTGACACAAACACTCTCACTTTCATGATTGCTCAGAGCAATAATAATTTTTTAAAATCATGAGGGAGGGATCAGAATAGAGGAAGTATGCCGGGGCCAAAAAGAAAGAGAGGAAGTAGAGTGCCAGAATGTTAGACAACATGTGGCCAGTGACTGTTACACCCTGACCAGGGAAGAAGGTGGGCTGAACAACTCAGATAATGAAGAGTAAAGACTGGTTGATCCTGCTTCCCAGACCTTTTCATTTGTTTTGATTTTGTTTTTTTTGTTTTTTTTTTTAATCCTCACCCGAGGATATTTTTCCATTTTTTGTACAGATAGAGTGGGAGGGAGGGAGAGGAAGGGAGAGAGAGAGAGAAACATCGATGTGAAGGGACACATCGAGTGGCTGCCACCCGCACGACCAACCAGGGCCGGGGACAAACTGCAACCGAAGTACGTGCCCTTAGCGGGAACCGAACCCGGGTCTCTCCGGACCGCAGGCCGACGCTCTAACCGCTGAGCCAAACTGGCCAGGGCTGTTTTGATTTTGTTTGTATACCTCCAGAGATGGGGTGCTCCCAAGGGAGATAGCATGGGCATGGACAACTGTCAGATGTTTGATACAATGTGATTTTTCAAGTAGTGGCTGTCATAGGTAAAAGAGCTGAATGAGATTGTTTGGATGGGAGGGATATCCATGTAAGCTGGGCAGTCAGTCAGTCACTGCCATAGGCTGGATCTGGAATCATATCCACCTTAGTTCGAATCTCTGCTCTGTCACTTATTGGCCTGATGACTTCATTTCTCCAAGCCTCAGTTTTCTCTTTCTTACAAAATGACCCTAATAACAGCATCTACCTCATAGGTTTGTGCATGTATTCAATGAGCTAATAGGATAAAATGCCTGGCACACAACAGGTGCAGAAGTATTTTGCCCTGCTCCAGGCCCAGAGTACTCTGGAATGTGTCCCAAACACACTGTACTTTGCTAATTCTAAAACTTCGTACATTTTCACTTCTGCATGTGCTCTTGCCGCACCACCCACACTTGGCAAACTCTGACACATCTCTCAAAGCCCTAGCTACAAAATACCTTTCTTTCTTTTCTTTTTCTTTTATAAATTGTTAACACTATTACAGATGTCCTTCATTTTACAAGATACCTTTCTTTTCTCTGTTCAAACCCTGACCTAGGGAGCTGGGAGCATCTGGACATGGTTCTGACTGGGCCTACTGTGATGTTATACTGCCACCAGTGAGACGACAAGACCTCAGTGTTGTCTTTTTTTTTTTTTAATTTACAGATATCCCCCCCTCCCTTGACTCCCTCTTCTCCAATCCCACCCCCCTCCTGCTTTCCCCACATTATTGTCTGTGTCTTTTGGTTATGTATATGTGCATATAAGTTCTTTGGTTTCTCTCTTCCCACCCCACCTCCCCCCTTCCCTTTGAGGTTCATCAGTCTAACAATCAATTTGTACTTCTTTTTTTTTATTTTTTTTTATCCTCACCCGAGGACATTTTTGCATTTTTTGTTCAGACAGAGCGGGAGGGAGAGAGAGGAAGAGAGAGAGAGAGAGAAACATCGATGTGAAGGGACACATCGAGTGGTTGCCACCCGCACGACCAACCAGGGCCGGGGACAAACTGCAACCGAGGTACGTGCCCTTAGCGGGAACCGAACCCGGGTCTCTCTATACCGCAGGCCGACGCTCTAACCGCTGAGCCAAGCTGGCCAGGGCCAATTTGTACTTCTTAATCCCTTCATCTTTTTCACCCAACTTCACTCCCATTTGGCAACCAACAAAATGTTCTCTGTATCTATGAGTCTGTTTCTGTTCTGCTTACTCATTTTGTTTGTAGATTCAATTGTTGATAGATATGTATTTATTGCCATTTTATTGTTCATATTTTTTTATCTTCTTCTTCAAGAAGACCCGTCAACATATAATACTGGTTTGGTGGTGATGAACTCCTTTCGCTTTTTCTTGTCTGGGAAGCTCTTCATATGTCCTTTAGTCCAAATGATAGCTTTGCAGGATAAAGTAATTTTGATTGTAGGTCCTTGCTCTCTCTCTTCTTCTGGCACCCCTATGATGTAAATGTTGGCACACTTGAAGTTGTCCCAGACACTCCTTACACTATCTGAAGCAGGAGGCAAAACAGGCCAATCCTATGGTAAAGCCACTGGAAACAGCTTGGGTGCTCCTGAAAGTTAGGTGGGAAAAGGCCTCAGGGAATCACCAGGGCAGGACAAACAGTATGAGCCAGGTTTCTGCAGTCCCAGATATGGCAGCCCTCTGCCTGCCCTGTGGGGAAGGACTCACCAAAGGAACAACAGCCTCCACCAGCACATCTGTCGAGGAGAAAGCTGCCTCTCCAGTCCTTGCCCCAATGCAAAACAACTCAGTTCTTCCCTGTATGTCTCTGGTGCCTTTCAAGCTGCCTCCCCTCCATGCTGGAGCTTAGAGGGAGCTGGTCCGAGTAAGTCCGTGTGTGGGCCCTTTAAGAGAAGCTGCCTGGGGCTCCAGAAGCCTCAGCCTCCCTCAGCCTCAGTTCCCGCTGGTTTTTACCCAGCATTGGAACCCTGAGCTGGGCGCCTGGTGTGGGACGGGAACCCCTCAGTCCTTAGGGAGGACCTTCACAGTTGAGGTGTCCCTCCTGATTTTTATCCACCACACCTGGATGTGGAACCAGCCCGATGGAGCCTCTGCAATTTCAGGCGATTCTGAAGGGTGGTTGTTCTGTAGTTTAGTTGTAATTTTGATGTTGTTGTGGGAAGAGACGAGTATCGCGTTTACTTATGCCACCATCTTGACTGGAAGTGGTTCTTGTCTTCTTGAAGGAAAGATTTCAATCAAGAGACAAAGTGTAGCACTGGCTGGTTTGGCTCAGTGATTGCAGCATTGGCTTGTGGACCAGAGTCCTGGGTTTGGTTCCCGCTAGGGGCACGTACCGAGAGAGAGAGAGAGAGAGAGAGAGAGAGAGAGAGAGAGAAGCAAAGTAAGAAAGAATTTATCAGCCACAGCAAAAACACACTTAGGATAGTGAAACAAAGAAGGGCATAGAAGAAGCAACAGGAGAGCCTAAGCTGGGCTGCTTTGGCTCACTGAGAAGTCAGAGTAAAGGGCCTTAGAGACAGATTCAGGGGGTTAGCCCCAGAGAGCTGCTGCTGCCCATTGCTCCCCTGGTTGCAAGTTTCATAGGATACTTTAGAGGGAAGAAGGGGAAAAGGGAATGGTGCTGGTGTGCTCCCCTGGGGGAGAGCCCACGCTGGGTCCTTCAGTTTGAGTGTATTTATCTCTTGCAGGTGGGAATTATAGGGGAGGGGTTGGGGAAGAGTCTCAATAGAATATTCGTTAGCTTTCCAGGTGTGTTCTCTCAGAGCCCTGGTGTCCACCGATTGGTTGGTGCCAGGGCAGGGGTTCATTAGTCAATGTACCTGGTCCTGAGGCAGTCACTGGGTCAGTGGTCTGGTTTTGCTGCTTTTCTGAGCCTGGAGCTGAAATCCAACTGAGGCCTAGATGTTATCTCCCCTCCCCCCCTTTGGTGGTACGTGCTCCTAGCGGGAACCGAACCCCAGACTCTCTGGTCCGCAGGCCGATGCTCAACCGCTGAGCCAAACTGGCCAGGGCCTAGATGTTATCTTTAGGGAGAAAAAGGTCAGGGGATCTAAACCACTTGACTATGGATATGAAAAAATCAGGGGGTCCAAACCACATGATCAACGATATGCTAGAGGGGCGAGGTTTTCCTAGTTTTGCCCCTTGCTAGGCATCTGGTGGGTTTCAGTACCTGGCCCAACATCCTTGCTCTGTTCCTGTCTGTCTAACTGCCTGTAACAATGCGAGCTCTCCAGGCCAGAGATTCCGATTGGCATGTGGTCGGCATGCGGTCAAAGCTCGTTGAATGAGTGTGTGGGTGGATGGGCGGAGGGATGGATGGACGATCACTTGTGGGGCAGTGCAAAGTAGAGACCCAGACGTGGGTACCAGCTTCCACCACTTCAAAGGGCCAGTAGGGGGCAGATAACCTGCAGAAGGAATTCCGGGTGGGATCATTAGCGTTTCCGGTTCAGCCTCTTTAAGGGGCGGGGCCCGCGGGCGGGCTCTGGCAGCGCCAGGGCGGTGCGAAGATGGCGAAGGCGGCGGCCGGGCCCTGTGCTGCTGAGGCGCCGAGCTCGCTGCTGCTGGTGGTGGGCGGCGAGTGCAGCTGCCCGGGTCTGCTGAACTATGTGCTGGAGGAGCTCGAACGAGGTGGGGCCGGGGTAGGGTGGCGGGGGTCGGGGTGGAGCTCCTGGCTGAGGGGTGTGGGGGGTGGGGTCCCGGGGGGTGGGGCGGGGGGCGACTCAATCCAGGGATTTGGGGTCCGGGGCTCCGGGAGGGAGGTAGTGGAATCCAGGGGACCGGGCAAGGGGGCGGCCAGTGGCCTGGGCTGCGAGATCCAAGGGCCAGAGGCTCAGATCCCCTCGCCGTTAAGCGGACGGCACGGGCGGAGGCCTGGGCCTCCGGCCCGGGTGCAGACCGCCGAGGGGTCATGGCCGGCTTTGGTAACCGCGCGATTGGGCAACACCGGTGACGGCTCCTTTTCCCGCCCGCCGGGCCTGCCAAGGGGAGGGCGGCGTCGCCTCGAATCTTCGGGTCTTAGCAGGCTGGATGTGGCCAAGCCTGGAGCCCCGGGGCCCAGTTTCCGTAACTCCTTGAGGAGCTGCTAATTAGGGTGTGGGCGGTTGAGGCCTATCTGTGGGATTTGGCACCACAGAAGGTGAGTCACAGGTGCACCTGCAAGGTTCAATTCACCTGCAGCTACTTGGCACACCCGCTGGCTTGGTGCACCCCACGCCGGGGTTGGAGGGCGTTCATCTCTCCAAACGGCGTGGTGGGATCCATCGCTTGTAAAATGGGGCGGCAGCACACGCAGTTCCCGTGCTTGGAGAAGGTTCCCCACAGGGCACAGGGTGGGGAAGACTGGAGGCTCAGCCCTGCTGTCGCACGGCTAACTGTGTGTGGGGGTGGGGGTGGGGGTGGGGTGGGGGGGGTGTTGTGGATCCAAGATGAGTGAGGAGATGGAACCAATTTTAAGCTTGCATGGTGTTAGGAGGGCACAGAAAGAAGCAAAGGGCATAAAGGACCTGAAAAGAGGTGGGGGTTTGTGGACAATGGGAACAGCTGGTGCCAAGGCCCAGAAATGGGAATGTGCCTGGTAGTGGGAAGGAGCAGTGAGACAGGTGATAGGGGTGGAGCTAATGCTGGAGGGGAGGAGATGACTGAGATGATCAAGATACTGGGGCAGGTTGAGGGGAAGAGGCTGATTTTCCACCTCTATTCCCCTCCCCACACTAGGTCTCAAGTCCTGGGACATTGACCCTGGCATCTGCAGCCTGGATGAGCAGCTCAAGATCTTTGTGTCCCGGCACTCGGCCACCTTTTCCAGCATTGTGAAAGGTGAGGCTGGAGACCCTGTGTGCCCCAGCTGCTCCCCTTTTGTGTTCATTGGGCAAATGTTCTCTGAATGCCTAAACAACAATAAAACACCTAAGCTCTGCTGAGTATGGAGCAAGGGTTATCTACCTTGGTCGTCAACAGCCCATGAGGCAGGTACTCATGTTTTTGTTCCCATTTGACAGATGAGGCAGCTGAGGTGTTAGGGACAGGGAGACCTGCTGAGGGGACTTTTTGGAGGAGAAGTGTCTGGGGCTGCTGTGTTAGGTGGAGGGAAGGCCCGGGTAAAAAGACAGGACATTTGGAAAGTGAGGGGCTGCTAGGCAGGCCTGGAAGATGGTGTATGGGCTTTGTGTGGCAGAGAATGTGTCTGGTTCATGGCTGTGACCCCTGCACATGTCAGGTACATAGTAGGTACTCAGTAGATGGGGAACTGATAAAAGAGCAAGGTCTAGGAGGGAGCTGAGATGTTTGAGCCAGCCCCACATAGCCTGTGACTCTCTGGGTATTTGTTGGTGATTTCGGGTTAACAGAGCAGTTACTGGTTGGGGCCTGGGCGTTGCCTGTAGCTTCCCCACTTCAGCCAGCCCTACAGCCCCCCCTTCCCTCAGCCAGCCCCTTGAATCACCTCCAGGCTGCTGTGGCAGGGGAAGGAAGTGACCCGTCGCTTCATTGTCCCAGCAGTTCTGGTGGCTTCCTGACCCCTCATAAAATGGGGGTACTGGAAATCCTGTCAGTCCTGTGTGACCTCAGTGGTCATTTCCCTACTCTCTACCTTGGTCCCCCCACCAGAATGGGGCAATATCTGGGTGTGTGACCCTGGAGGGTCCTTGCCTCTCTAGCCTCCTGACCTGATCCTCCATATTGGAAGCACATCTGGGCTCCATGGGACACACTAGAATTGGGATCCCAGAATTAACCCCACTCTCCTCTTGTGGCTCATGAGGCCTCCCCATCCTTGGCTCCCTTCTGCTGCCCCTCATTCCAGCCCACCTGCCACTTTTCCATCCTCCTGTAGTCCTGCCTCAGAGTCCATGTTGTTCCATCATTGGCCCTCCCTGGACTCTGGCTCCTTGCCTATAAAATGGGGGTGACAATGGTATCCCCCACCAAGCTGACAGCTGTGAATTGGGCCTCATAAGCAGTGATGGCCTTGTTGTCACTGTTGATTCTAATGGGAGGTCTGCTGATACAGGCTTTCTGTTCTTGCCTCATCCTGACCTGTGGCACTACTATGTAGGCCAGCTTTGGTGGGTGGGGGTTCCCGGGAAGCAAGTGTTGGAGGGACTTGTGGCTGCCTGGGGTCACACAGAGAGGCAGGGTTTGACCCTGGACAGCCTGACCCTGCGCACATGTCCCAGCTCCAAACTCACAGGGTCCAATTCCCACACAGGCCAGCGGAGCCTGCACCACCGAGGAGACACCCTGGACATCCTGGTCCTCCTGAACCCATCAGATAAGTCCCTATGTGATGAGGTAGGGACCAGTCAGCTCCTGGAGGGAGTGGGTTGCAGAAACTGACACCATCCCCCATCCTGATCTCTTGTATCCTTGACTTCATGCTGCTTGAAATTCTCTTCTCAGCACCCAGCAGCAGGACCCTCTCCCCTAGGAAGCCTTCCTCACCCCTCATGGCTCCAGCTACAATTTATTCCCTCCTCGTGGGTGATGGAAGCACCTCGTGGGTGGTGGAATCAGAAAGGCTAGAGTTTGGGAGAAAGGAATGGGATAGAGAAGGTCTGGAGGTGGGAAATGGGAAAGCAGGACCTGATTGATGTTTGTATTTTATGTTCCCTCTCACCGGTCCCTAGTAGTTTGTCTGAATTGATCTCTTAATATTTCTAGCTTGTGGATGTCTGTATCCTTCTCCCAATTATTTATGAGAAAGATGAACAAGATAGAACCCCAGGGCACTCCTGTAGAGACCCTTGTACAGGTTGATTCTTCTGATGAAAAATGTTCCCTCAAGGGGCTCAGAAGAAGACAGCCAGTCCCATGGCATTGTGGCTGGACCATAGGGAGAGGTGGGCTTGAGGGAGCCCTCAAAGGGTACAGAGGGCTTCTAGGAGAAGGGAGCACTGGAGCCAGGCTTTGCTGGAGTTTTGGGGGTAAGGAAGGCCCAGCAGGAGGTCCGGAGGTTATATTCCTTAATAGATCACTGGCCTGGCTGTAGGGTGGGGACAGGAGTGGGGTGGTTATACATAGATTTAGGGTGGGGGGCCACCCAAAGTGGGGTGCTTATTATGTCACTGTGTAGAATAGGGCCTTTACCAGTCTCCCCTCTCCCTCAGCTCCGGAACCTTCTCCTAGACCCTGCCCCTCACAAGCTTCTGGTGCTGGCTGGGCCCTGCCTGGAGGAGACAGGGGAGCTGCTGCTCCAGACTGGGGGCTTCTCACCCCGCCACTTCCTCCAGGTTCTGGGGGACAAAGAGGTAAGTCCCCTCCCCATCCTGCTTCCCCCACCTCTGAATCCTGGCTTGTTCCCACTGGGTTGTGTGGTCCCCAGTGACCTGCTCTCTGGATGGTTTTGACACATATCCTCCTGTTGTCAGGATGCAGTCCTGTCACCCACTATAGTGTGGTTCAGGGGGGTGCCTATGGATTAACAGGCACCCCAGAGGCCTCAAGTGACACCGCAGATTCACTTCAGATTCACTTCTGGAGTCAGTCTGGATGGGGCATGTGAACAAAAAAACCTCTGAAAACCATGTGTTTACATTGTTGTAAATGATTTAAACATGGTGAGAGAAGAGCCAGTGAGAGAGCAGGGAAGGCCTCCCTGGAGGGAACAGCAAATGCAAAGTTCTTGAGGCAAGGAGAATGAGAGAAGGCGGGAGGGAGGGAGGGAGGGACGGACGGGGACAAGGGGTGAGGCAAGAGTGGGGGGAGGGCTGAGTTTTTGTTCTGAGGGTGACAAGTGACCCTCACAGCTCCAGGAGACAGTCCTTGCCTAGTTTTCCCAAGGTACTGGGTATTGCCTGGCTCCAGGTGGCCCCTTAACCATTTCCCCCTCTGCAGATCCAGGATCTCCTGGCTTCTGCACCCCCATCTGCAGACCCACCCAAGTTCACCATCACCTGCCCAACCTTCGGTGACTGGGCCAAACTGGCACCAGAAGTGTCTGGCCTCCAGGGTGCGCTCCGACTGCGGCTAAACCCACCATTGCAGCGGCCAGCCTCTGAGGGCCTACGTGAGTTCCTGGAGTATGTGGCTGAGTCGCTGGAGCTGCCATCCCCCTTTGAGCTGCTTGAGCCACCGTCATCTGTGGGTTTCCTCAGGCTTGCCCGGCCTTGCTGCTACATCTTCCCTGGTGGCCTTGGGGATGCCGCCTTCTTTGCTGTCAATGGCTTCACCATGCTGGTCAACGGTGGCTCAAACCCCAAGTCGAGCTTCTGGAAGCTGGTACGGCACCTGGACCGGGTGGATGCTGTGCTGGTGACTCATGAGGGCGCTGATAGCCTCCCAGGCCTCAACAGTCTGCTGCGACGCAAGCTGGCAGAGCGTGAGGAGGCAGCGGCCGGTGGGGGCTCGGGGGATGACAGGCTGCGCAGGCTCGTCTCACCAGGCCTGGGTGTTGTGTTCCTCAATGCCCGCGGGGCCATGTCTCGTCTAGTGCGAGGTGAGGATGAGGCGGAGCTAGCCCGGAGCCTTCTGGCTCGGCTGGGCATAGAGCCTCTGCCCCTGCGCCGTGGGCTGATGCCGGCTGAGCCCACTGTACTCTTCCAGAAAATGGGTGTTGGCCGGCTGGACATGTACGTGCTGCACCCACCCTCAGCTGGCGCTGAGCACAAACTGGCCTCCGTATGTGCCCTGCTGGTGTGGCATCCCACAGGCCCCACTGAGAAGGTGGTGCGTGTACTTTTCCCTGGCTGCACACCACCTGCTCGCCTCCTGGATGGTCTACTCCGCCTGCAGCATTTGGGGTTCTTGCGGGAGCCCGTGGTGACCCCCCAAGACCTGACAGGGCCTCGGCGTACTGAGAGCAAGGAAAGTGTGGGCTCCCGGGACAGCTTGAGGAGAGAGGGCCGGACTACGGTGCCTGCCAGGCTTGCCCAGGAGCGCTCAGGCATGGCCCGGAAGGAGCCACCACGGGCTGAGGCTCCTCGCAGGGCTGAAAAGGAAGCTAGGCACCTCCGAGAGGTGAAGAAGGACCCCAAGCCAAGTGCCCCTCGGACCCAGCCCAGGGAGTTGTACCGGGCATCCTCTGCTGTGGTCAACAGCAAGAAGACAAGTGCCCAGGCAGCCCCCAAGCCCCGAAAAGCACCCAACAATCACCGCCCAAGTGTCCCATTGGCAGGGAATGGGCCCCGCAGCCCCCCCAGCTTCCGGTGTGGAGAGGCCAGTCCCTCCACAGAGGCCTGCAGCTCTCCTATCCCCCAGCTGGTGGCCACCCCCAGCCAAGGGAGCAGCCTGGAGCTGGGGCTAAGCCCCCCAGGGGAGGACAGTGGCAGCCTAAAGACTCAAGAGCAACTGGTAGCCAGTGGCACCCTCCTACCGCGCACCCCCTCGCCAGCTGGAGCTCACCAGGGCCCAACTGAGGGCAGTAGGCAGCTGTCACTGAGCCCACTGAGGGGCGGGGAGACAGGGCCAGATGTCTCCCCAACGGTGACCACACCTTCCCTGCCTGCTGAGGTGGGCTCCCCACATTCCACAGAGGTGGACGAGTCCCTGTCTGTCTCCTTTGAGCAAGTGCTGCCACCACCTCCTGTTCCCATGGGTGAGGCAGGGCTGAGCCTTCCACTTCGAGGCCCCCGGGTGCGGCGCTCGGCCTCCCCACATGATGTGGACCTGTGCCTAGTGTCACCCTGTGAGTTTGAGCACCGCAAAGCCATGCCTATGGCACCAGCCCCCACATCCCCCGGCAGCTCCAATGACAGCAGTGCTCGGTCCCAGGAGCGAGCGGGTGCTCTAGGGACTGAGGAAACACCACCCACGTCTGTCAGTGAGTCCCTGCCTACACTGTCTGACTCGGACCCCCTGCCTGCTGCCCCTGGCACTGCAGAATCAGATGAGGACATGGAGGGTTTTGGGGTCCCTCATCACAACCCGCTGCCCGACCCCCTCAAGGTCCCCCCGCCACTGCCCACTCCCCCTAGGATCTGCATGGTGGACCCTGAGCTGCTGCCCCCGGAGCAGGCCCGGCTGACAGAGAGCCTCAGTCGTACCCGGAAGTCCCTGGCTCGCCCCACACCTAGCACTGCCACCCCCAAACCCACTCCGGCTAACACTGCCAAGACCAAGGGGCTGCCTGGTAGGGAACGGGGCAGTCGGCCACTGAGTATCCAGAGTGAACCCAGTGACAAGGGAGGTCGAGCACCCCTGTCCAGAAAGTCCTCAGTCCCCAAGACGACTACTCGGGGCCCATCCGGTAAGTACCTGGGGGCTAGAAACCTGCAGTGGGTTACCAGCCCAAGTTCTGTTCCTAATGCTGTGTGGCCTTAGTCACACTTTACCACCCTCTGTGGCCTTAGTTTCCTCTATAAAATGGGAGCACACTTGGCAATTGCCAGTTATTCGAGCAGTGCTGTCAATGGAAACACAGTGAGCACCTCTCATGGATTTGCTAGTAGCCACAGTGCCCCAGTGAGTAAAAGAAACAAGTGAGTTAATAGTATATTTTATGTAATCTTTTGTGTCTAGGGTCTTTTTGTTAATCCTCACAGAAGGATGGAGGATATTTTTTCCATTGATTTTTTTTTAGAGAGTGGAGGGGAGGGAGGGTGGGAGGGGAGGGAGGGTGGAAGGGAGGGCCAGGGAGAGAGAGATCAATGTGAGAGAGACACATAGATTGATTGCCTCCTGCACACTCCCTGACCCAGGCTGAGGATTGAATCTGCAATTCAGGTAGGTGCCCTTGACTGGGAATCAAACCCATAACCCTTTGGTTCAATGGCTGATGCTCTAACCACTGAGAGCACCAGTCAGGACTGTTGAGGTTTTTAAAACCATGCCCAGGTTGATGATTGGCAAGGAGGACACAACTCTACTCCTGGCTGCAATATATGAGAGGACATAGAGCAGGGTCTGCAGTGGGAAGAGTCCTCTCATAGTGGAGTCACATACTATATGCTTAATTCCTGAGCAGCAAGCTGTGATGACATGGGAGAAGTGGCCTCCAACAGGGAGGCCCATTAGAGACTCACCTGCAGGGTTTCGGTTGAGGGCTTTTGACATCAGCACCTCTGCCTGGCTTGTACCATAGTTCCAGACTCCTCAGAAAGCGGAAAGCCAGTGTTCAGCTTAAGCCATGTTGCTATACAAACTCTTATAATTTACAGAACATTGGAGGTCTTCTGAAATCTGTTCACAGATGCCAGCTCAGGCCTTCCCAAGAATAGCAATCTTGAGTCTGCTATCCTTAATTGTGATGAGATATACAGAACATAAAATTTACCACCTTTGACATACTTTAAGTGTCCAGTTCAGTGGCAATAAGTACATTCACATTGTTGTGCAGCCATCACACACCATCCATCTCCAGAAACTCCCTTCGTCTTGCAAAACTGAAACTGTCCCTATTAAACACTAACTCCCCATTCCCCCCTGGCACCCATTATCCTTTCTGTCTCTGAATCTGACTCCTCTAGGGACCTTACATAAGTGGAATCACGGTGTTTATCCTTGTGGTGACTGGCTTATTTCACTTAGCATAATGTCCTCATGGTTCATCCATGTTGTAGCAGATGTCAGAATTTCTTTCCTTTTCAAGGCTGAATAATATTCCATTGTATAGATGGACTGACCACGTTTTGTTTATTCATTCATGGGTACTTGGGTTGCTTCCACCTTTTGGCTGCTATAAATAATGCTGCTGTGAACATGGATGTACAAACATCTCTTCAAGACCTTGCTTAAATTCTTTGAGATAAATACAGAAGTGGAATTGCTGGATTATGTGATAATTCTGTTTAACTTTTTTTTTTTTAGGAACCTCTGTACTGTTTTCCACAGAGGCTACACCATTGTACATTTCTACTAAAATACAAGAGTTCCTTTTTTTTTAAGGATGTTTGTGAAGGGCTCAGCATAGTTCTGGGCATATAGCACTCCACAAAAATGTCCTTTTTTAGATAGAGAAAGGGAGAGAGAGAAACATTGATTTGATGTTCCACTTATGCATTCATTGGTTGCTTTTTATATGTGCCCTCACTGGAGATTGGACCTGAAACCTTGGCGTATCAAGACAACACTCTAACCAACTGAGCTACCTGGCCAGGGCCACAAGGGTTCCTCATCAACACTTATTTTCTGCATTTAAGAAAAAATTTCTTGAGTGCACAAAGCTCCCAATGGCAGCTGGGCAGGCCTCCTCCCCACAGGTTGCTCTATTTTTTTAAATTATAACAATTTATTATAGAGTAAGTTACTTACAGGAAGATTGGGTCAGAGCGGAAGGTAGCCCCACAGTCTGCACAGATAATCTCTGCTGTTAGACAGTTGTTACAGTAACATTAAATGTTTTATAGTATAGCTGAATTACTAATGGACAAGACAAAGGGACCATACCTCCTGATGGCCTTATGATGGATAATTGTTTACTTTTTTTTATCCTCACCTGAGGACACTTTTCCATTTTTTTGTTCAGATAGAGTGGGAGGGAGAGAGAGAGAGAGAGAGAGAGAAACATTGACATGAAAGGGACACATCGAGTGGCTGCCACCCGTATGACCCAACCAGGGCCGGGGACAAACTGCAACTAAGGTACATGCCCTTAGCAGGAACCAAACCCAGGTCTCTTGGGACCGCAGGCTGACACTCTAACTGCTGAGCCAAATCGGCCAGGGTAGATATTGCTTACTATTAACATCAGCATCTAGTTTGATATTTATCCCAGTGGCTATGCCATTCTGGCCATTTACTAATAGGAATCTTTATGATTACATTGTATAATCTTACAAGGCACAACTAAATATTAACTGTAAGGCTTTGGTGCTGGCTGAGACTAGTTTGGTCAAGTTCAGAACACAAATTTGAAAGAAATCAAGGGGCACACACAAAGAGGGAGTCAGTTTTATTTACATCTACATCTGTATGAGAAAGTTTTGGAAGTTGACTTTAGACACCAAATAGAGGATTTTAGACTCATGATGAAAAAGATGAAATTAATACAGAATCAGTACAGTTTACAGTCTATGTACAGTTAATATTTTATTTCAAGTAAAATGTAGAAGCCTTACAGTCACATAGATCCTTTTACTCCCCCCCCTTTTATATTATAGTTGTTATATGAACTATGTCAACATACATTGAAAACCTGACCAGATACTGTTAAAATTTTTGCTCTCAATAGTTAAACATATTTAAAAGAACTTAAGAGGATCCATTTACCATTTAGTTTTTCCTTTATTTCTTAAATTTCTCTCTGCTATCATTTCCCTTCAGCCTAAAAAACTTTGAGAATTTTTCATAGGGCAGGTGTGCTAACAATTCTCTTCATCTGAGAATTGTTTTTACTTTGCCTTCATCCCTGTATATATTTTTTTCTGGGTAGAGTTATGTTCTTTTGATACTTCGCTCTTTTTTTGTTTTTATTTTTATTTTTTATATTAGCCATCCTGATGGGTGTGAATTGATATCTTGTGGTTTTGATTTGCATTTCCCTGATGATTAGTGAGGTTGAGCATCTTTTCATCTGCTTGTTGGCTTGTTTAGAGAAATGTTTACTAAATTATTTGCCCATTTTTGAATAAAGTTGTTTGTTTTTTCTTGTTGGATCTTGAGAGTGTTCTTTGTATTCTGGATTTGAATCCCTTATCAGATACATGATTTGCAATATTTTCTCCCATTCTGTGGGCTGCCTTTTTACTCTGTTGATAATGTTCTTTGATGCACAAAAGTTTTAACCTTTTTTCTTTGAACATGAAGTCCAGTTTGTCTTTTTTCTTTAGTTGCCTATGATTTTGGTGTCATTATCTAAGAAATCATTGCCAAATCAAATTTATGAAGCTTTTGCCTTATATTTTCTTCTAAGAGTTTTATAGTTTTAGCTCTTAAATTATCTCTTTGATCAATTTAAAGTTAATTTTTTAGCCCTGGCCGGTTTGGCTCAGCGGTTAGAGCGTCCACCTGCGGTCCGGAGAGACCCGGGTTCGGTTCCCGCTAAGGGCATGTACCTCGGTTGCAGTTTGTCCCCGGCCCTGGTTAGTTGTGCGGGTGGCAGCCACTCGATGTGTCCCTTCACATCGATGTTTCCCTCTCTCTCTCTTCCTCTCTCTCCCTCCCACTCTGTCTGTACAAAAAATGGAAAAATGTCCTCGGGTGAGGATAAAAATAAATAAATAAATAAAATAAAGTTAATTTTTTAATCAATTTGAGAGAGCAAAACATTGGTTTTTGTTGTTCTACATATTCATGCATTCATTGGTTGATTCTTGTGTGTGCCCTGATGGAGCTAGAACCCACAATCTTGGTGTATCCAGATGAAGCTCTAACCAATTGAGCTATCTGGCCAGGGCTGAGTTAATTTTTAATGGTGCTAAACAAGGGTTCAGCTTCAGTCTTTTGCATGTGGATATCCTTGTTTCCCAACACCATTTGTTGAGAAGCCTATTTTGTCCCTCATTGAATAGTTTTGGCACCCTTATCAAAAATCATTTGACCATATATGTGAGGATTAGTTTTTGGGCTCATTGTTCTGTTCCACTGATTTTTTAAAAAATATGTTTTTATTTATTTTAGAGAGAGAGGGAGAGAGAGAAAAAACAACAACATTGATATGAGAGAGAAACATCAATCGGTTGCTTCCTGTATGCACCCCAACCAGGCATTGAACCCACAGCCTGGGCATGTGCCCTGACTGGAATTGAACCAGTGACCTTTCGGTACATGGGACAACACTCAGCCATCTGAGCCACACTAGCCAGGCTCCATTGATTATTTTTGCTCTTACTAATTTGAGTCTTCTCTCTTTTTCTTTTAGTCCAGTTAAAGATTTGTCAATTTTGTTAATCTTTGCAGAGAACCAACTTTTTGTTTCATTGCTTCTATACTGTTTTTATATTTTCTATTTTATTGATCTCTGCTCCAATCTTTATTTCCTTTCTTTTGCTAGCTTTACATTTACTTTGTTCTTCTTTTTCTAGTTCTTTAAATTGTAAAGTTAGGTTGTTGATTTGAGATATTATTTTTTAATATAAGCTTTTAAAATGTAAGTTTATAGCTATAAAATTCCCCTTTAACACCATCTTCTCTCAGAGTCTCTCTTTGTCCTTGCTTTCAACAGTTTGATTATGTATCTCAGTGTGGGCCTCTGAGTTCATTGTACTTGGAGTTCAATGCTTCTTGATGTTTATGTTCATGTCTTTCAACAAGTATGGGAAATTTAGGTCTGTTTTTACTTCTTCAAGTAATCTCCTGCCCCTTTCTCTCTTCCCTTTCTGGGAATTCCACAGTATGTATGTCGGTCCTCTGGATGGGGTCCCACAGGTTTCTTAGACTCTGTTCACTTTCTTGAATCTTTTTTCTTTCTGTTCCTCAGACTCAGTAATTTCCATTTTCCTATCATCAAGATCATTGACTTTTTTTTTACCTGTTCAAATCTTTTTTTTAAAATTTATTTATTTTTGTTACAGATGTTTCTCCTTTCCACCCTACTGATCCCCCCCCCCCCTGCCCTGTTCCCAGCTTTGTTGTCCATGTCCATTGTTCATGCATACATGCATATAAGTTCTGTGGTTTATCTCTCTGCCCCCCACCCCCTCTTCTGGGGATTGTCAGTCTGTACCCCACTTCCACATCTCTGGGACTACCCCATTTCTCAGGCTGTTAAGTTAATTCCACAAATAACTGAGATCATATGATACATGTCTTTCTCTGTTTGGCTTGTTTCGATTAGGATAATACTTTCCAGGTCCCTCCATGTCGTCTCAAAGGATAAGAAACTCTCTAGTGAAATTTTCATTTAAGTTATTGTGCTTTTTTTCAGCTGCACAATTTCTTTTTGGTTTATTTTTTGTTTTCTATCTCCTTATTGATTTTCTATTTTGTTCATACATTGTTTTTTTTTTAATTTTTTTCTATGCCTTTAGTTTTCTTTTTTTTTTTTTCAAGAAAATTTTTGTGGTTTTATTGTATCATGAAGCATTGAAACATCTGAATAAATCAGTATCTGGGTGGTGAGGCAGCCGTTTTCTCCTTCACTTCTTTGGGTTACTAGAGCAACTTGTCAGTAGATTAAAAAAACAAAACAAAAACAACCTTTTGCATTACTTAAGTCCTTCCAAGGCATGCGCTGATACAACACAAACTTATCCTGTCAGATATAACTAGCCTAGCATCCAAACATCATGCACAATCCCTAGGTAGCAGCAGCGCACTGTGCCCACTTCTACCATGGCCCTGCTCATTTGTGTATGATATTTGGAGCATCTAGAGGAGTGTGAATAGTATCGGGAAGAGGAGGGAGAAGGAAATAGCATGAGTGCCTGGCTGGAAGGAGGTCAGCTAAAATTGTGCAGGGCAAGCCTGAACATGTCATTGGTGCAAACCCAAGCATCGTTGATGTTCTTTAATAGGAACCTCTGGTGTAACCCTTGATGGGGTCTTCATCAGCCTTAAGCTGGCCCACAACCATGCTGATGATGCAGCTATCTGGTGTGGGCTCATGGTCCTGTCCGTGATGCTGTGCAGGATTTTCTGGAATGGAAGTCTAGACAACTTCTCCACAATGGCAGCTTGCCCCTGGAATTGCTGTCCTTCCCATGTAAGGCATGACATGTCGATGTAAATTACGCCTAGTTGGGTTCTGTCATTATGAACTAATTGGTAGTAATGTTGAATGAAGCTGGATCCAATCTGTTCTCATATTGGCTTGTCTCTTATTCTGGAGCATCACCCAGCCTCGTTGAGACCTGAGGGGCTGGCACAATGGCGGCAGCCCATGTTTTTAGTTCTTTGAGGATTGTTCACATAGTTGTTTTGAAGTCATTGTCTAGTAAGTCTGCCATTTGGTCTTTGTTGGGGACAGTTCTTGTTAATTTATTGTTTTTCCTTTGAATGATCCATAGTTTTTTGTTTCTTTGTGTGCCTTGTGAATTTCTTTTATTTATTTATTTATTTATTTAATTTATTTATCCTCACCCGAGGACACCTTTTCCATTTTTTGTTCAGATAGGGTGGGAGGGAGAGAGAGAGAGAAACATTGATGTGAAAGGGACATATCAAGTGGTTGCCACCCACATAACCCAACCAGGGCCGGGGACAAACTGCAACTGAGGCATGTGCCCCCAGCAGGAACCGAGCCCGGGTCTCTCTGGACCACAGACCAACACTCTGTCTGCTGAGCCAAACTGGCCAGGGCCCTTGTGAATTTCTTTTAAACTGGATATTTGAATGTAATAATATGGTAACTCTGGAAATCCATATTTTTTCTTTCCCCAGCATTTGCTGTGGCTTTTTGTGTGTGATTATTGTGGACTATCTCTGTGATGGGGATCAGTCTGAGGTGTAAACATGTGGTTTTCTCAGGTCTTTTCTCAACCTCTACCTTTCTATGGGCTTGTGTGGTGACTTTCTAAGTTCTCCTGTGTATGTAGTTGCTTTTGAATACCTTAGTCCTTAAACATCCGGCTCCTAGAAACAAGGAGGGAAAAGAAGAAGAAATGTGCAGTCCTTTAAATCCTATGGAAGTCACTTCAACTTGAGGGGGAGGAGCTGCAATACAATTGTCCTCTCGATGGGGAGAGGAATTCCTGGTGCTTCCTACTGCTCCATCCTCCCAGAATCCTCCAACTATGTTACAACTCTTTTCTGCATACTACTATATAAAGATGGTGCTTCCTGCCCTGGCCGGTTTGGCTCAGCGGTTAGAGCGTCGGCCTGCGGTCCTGAGAGACCCGGGTTTGGTTCCCGCTAAGGGCGCGTACCTCGGTTGCAGTTTGTCCCCGGCCCTGGTTGGTCGTGCGGTGGCAGCCACTCGATGTGTCCCTTTCACATTGATGTTTCTCTCTCTCTCTCTGTTCCTCTCTCTCCCTCCCACTCTATCTTAACAAAAAATGGAAAAATGTCCTCGGGTGAGGATAAAAAGAAAAAAAAAAGAAAAAAAAAGATGGTGCTTCCCCATGTAATCAACAAAAGAAATTATCAGTTCCTTTTCTCTTCACTCTAAGTTTTGGGAGCCTGGCATGTATTTGACACTCCCAGTTCATGTTGGCTCACACTCACCACTTTGCAGTGCTTGCTGTCCATTGCATTGATTAGCACAGGGCTAGAATGAACTAGGGAGATCTAGTGAGAAAAAGTGATAATGACAACAATAATAACTGTAGCTTGTGTTTACGGAGCACTTGCTTGTGGGCTGGGCCCTATTCTAGGTACCTGGGGTGGTCCTGCTCTCCGGGAGCTGATGGATGTCTCTTGCTCCTCTCCTTTCATGGCCTGTCCTTGGCTGCTGGCCATCCTGGTGTCTTGATTCTCTTCAGTGCCCACCTGAGCTGTCACCTCTTTCTTGGGCAGATTCCCAGGGAGACACCTGGTGGGCCCCTGTGACCTTTGGTACGTCAGAGGTTCCTAGCACAGTAGCATGGAGAGGGTGGCCCCCCAGGGCCCATGGGAAAGGCTGGCACCTGAAGGCTGGGGGTCATCTGAGGCTTCATCTGCCAGGGCATTTGGCCTCTTTGAGAGGCCACAGTCTTGGTCACTCAGGGTTCCACCCCTCCGTACTGTATCCGCAATGTCTTAAAAAGCCAGAGGGTAAACTTTTTAGCCTTGTAGGCCAGACCATCTGTGTCCCAAACACAGAGCATCTATGTAAGTAACTGAACGGGTATTCCAGTAAAACTGTCTTTACAAAAACAGATGGTTGCCATATTTAGCCTATGGGTCATAGCTTGCCCTGCCCCTCCTCTACCCCGTCCTCCTGCCCTCCAGCTCTCCTGCTCCTGTCTCCCTTGCGCTTTCCATAACTGCAGTAGCTTTCTCTTCCTGAGGCTCCACGCAGGATCCTCACCATCGCAGTTTCCAGTTTGGAGTGACAGATGCCACTTGCCCAAAGCTAGGAGTTTTATTTATTCGCATATGCTCTGTAGTCCTTTGGGCCCACACCCTGAGCTGGGCAACATTTATGTTCCTAAGACATCAGCATCTGGTAGGCTTCCTGTGCATAAGACCTCAAGTGATTATGAGTTCACTCACCCCAAAGTGGCAGCCTTATCCCCTTTGCATACACTCTGGGTTCAGGGCCGTGAATGAGGCTCCAAGCACAGCTGCCCCAGCTCCATCCAGGCCTTCCTGTCCTGGATCTCCTTGCAACTCGATCCCTCCCACACCAGCTCTGGCTCTCCATCATCCTTGTGGGCAGGGATTTTTGTCTGTCTTGGTCACTACCATGTCCCCAGGACATGGTGCTCAGGAGGACTTGATAAATATCCCTTGAGTAATTGAACAGACGGATGCTGCAATAGCAGCAGAGCCTTCTAGGCATCAGCTGCTTTTAGGGCCCAAGTGCCAAAATGCCCTCTTCTAGGAAGCCCTCCACAGTTGCCCCCTCCTTCCAGCCTGGAGGATGTCTGTGTCTGGGGATTGGCAATTGAGGGTCCAGGCACTGAGGAGGCAGCCAGCGTTGTTTACAGAGTTCATTGAGTAACTGTCCTTACCAGGGAGGGCTAGTCAACCAATGATAAAACAGTGAGATCAGGCCTCCTACTGAGGAGGGAGTACTCAAAGAGGTACTGATTGAGCTGGGAGCCCTGTCCCAGGTCCTGAATCTCAGCCCCTTCCTAGTCCCAGAAGCTCACGACTGACCCCATTCTTCTTGCCTATAGGGTCAGCCAGCAGCCAGCCAGGTGGGTTGGAGGCTTCATCTGGCTCCCCTGTCTACCTTGATCTGGCCTACCTGCCCAGTGGGGGCAGCATCTGCTCGGTAGATGAGGAATTCTTTCGGCGGGTGCGTGCACTCTGCTATGTCATCAGCGGCCAGGACCAACACAAGGAAGAGGGTATGCGGGCTGTCCTGGATGCACTGCTGGCTGGCAAGCAGCGGTGGGACCGTGACCTCCAGGTGAGTGACCACTGCAAGGCCTTAAGCAGTCTTGGCACAGGGTGGGGCCAGCACCTCCCATTGTCTCTGTCTTGAATCCACACGGAGGTAGGAATGGGGCTCAGAGACTCAACTGCATCCCCAAGGCCACAAGGAAAGGAGAGCAAATGCAGGAGTCCTCTCCAGCTCTCAGGATCCTATTCTGTCACATCCATTTCCTCATTTCCCTGCAGCAATATGGGCAGGGATGCAGGGCAAGGCTGGTTTGACCACCTTTCCTGACCCCTAGTTCTTAACCACCCCGCTACCATGAGAATTGGCCAGGAGGAACAGGTGGGGTGTGTGACATTTACACAGTTGAGAAAGAGGACTGGGGTTGTCCCCAAAGAAAGCCTTGAAACAGATCCTTGAAGGGTGAGCTAGTTTGGGGAGAGGGGAGAGCTTCTAGGTACCTGGCTGCCCACTCAGCCTGTGAGTATGCGACCCCTGACCTTGCACGCAGCTTACTCTCCGGGATAGAGAGTCTAGGTACAGGGCACAACATGGGCAAAAGCCTAGAGGTAAAAGTGAGCCTGTGTGTCCCAGGAACTGGAGAGAAGCCCGGGTGAGCCAAGAGTCAGAGGCATGGAGAGGGGAGTGGGAGGCACTGAGGGCTTCGTAGAGTCATGGTCTGGTCTCCTGGGTTGTAAGAGGGTCCTTTGGGTTCCATGGGGAAAAGGACTTCAGGGACCAGCTGGCCACTGGCTGCAGGATATCCAGGTGAGAGATGAGACAGAACACATGTAGTCAGAGAAGGGGGGCTTCAGATGCCAAAGGACTGGGCCGTGAGAGCAGAGGGTTCTCCCCTTCACTGCTCGTCCATTTTTCCTGCCTGCAGGTGACCCTGATCCCTACTTTCGACTCAATGGCCATGCATGAGTGGTATGAGGAGACGCATGCCCAGCACCAGGCGCTGGGTATCACTGTGCTGGGCAGTAACAGCACAGTGTCCATGCAGGATGAGGCCTTCCCTGCTTGCAAGGTGGAGTTCTAGTCCTGCCTCACCCCCACCACCCCTCAGCCCAAATCTGCCACCATCCTGAGAGTCACTGCATCACAAATAAACCAAGTGCCCCACTCCACTGTGGCCTCAGTTCCTTCTGCTGATGGGAGACTTGGTGGCCATCACCACCATGTGGGCCCCCAGGACAGGCATAAGAAGAGGGCATGCCTCTCCAGTAACGGTTGCTGACAATGGCACTTAAATTAACCACAGCCCTCCCTGGTCACTGGTGAGGGTCCCGTTTCTTTTGTTGATGTTTCTTTTGTTCTTTTGTTGTTGTTTTTAATCCTCACCAGGAATATTTTTTTTCCATTGGTTTTTAGAGAAGAGTGGAAGGGAAGGAGAGAGAGAGAGAAATATTGATGTGAAAGAGAAACATTGATTGGTTGCCTCCTGCAGGAACCTGACCAGGCCAGAGATTGAACCTGCAACCCAGGTACGTGCCCTGGACCAAAATTGAACCCGTGACCCTTTAGTCAACAGGCTGATGCTCTAACCACTAAGCCAAACTGGCCAGTGTGAGGATCATGTTTTACAGACAAGGGAGGCAGCTGCTGGACCCCTGCCATACAGACTGATCAGTGGCTGAGGTGAGATTTGAATCCCAGTCTCTGCTCCATAGCCATAAAACAAAAGTTGCCCTCTGTTCCTGGAGAAAATTGATGTTTGTGCCAAGAGTCACAGCTGCAGGAAGATCTTTCTTTTTCTTTTTTTTTTAATCCTCACCCGAGGATATTTTTTTCCATTTATCTTCAGATAGAGTGGGAGGGAGAGAGAGAGAAACATCAATGTGAGAGACAGATATCAATTGGTTACCACCCGCACGACCCCAGCCGGGGTCTGGGATGAACTGCAACAGAGGTACACGCCCTTGGCTGGAATCGAACCTGGGACTCTGGTCCTCGTGCCGACACTCTAACCACTGAGTCAGACCGGCCAGGGCCAAACAGCAGTTTCTTAATGAGCCCCTGCCCTTATCGCTGCATGTGCAGAAACTCCTACATTAAATTTTAGATGAGATGCCATCTGTAATGGGTTGAATGGTGATTCAAACAAACACATCCAAATCCTGGCTCCTGATAGGTGTGAATGTGATGATGTGGAAAACGGATCTTCACAGATGTAATTAAGTAAAGGATCTTGAGATGAGATCATTCTAGATTAAGGTGGTTCTAAATCCATTGACAAGTGTCCTGATAAGGGACAGAGGGGTAGACCGAGAGGAGCAAAGATTGGAGTGATGCAGCCATAAGCTGAGGAATGCCAGAGCCCCCAGAAGCTGGAAGAGGTGAGGAAGGCTCCTCCCCTAGAACCTCCACAGTAACCAACCCTGTTCACACCTGTTGTGTTTTGAAAAAAAATTTTTTTTCTTTATTGATTTAAGAGAGAGGGAGAGAGATAGAAACATCAATGAGAGAGAACATTGACTGGCTGCCTCCTGCATGCCCCCCACTGGGGGTTGGGCCCACAACCTAGGCATGTGTCCTGACCGGGAATCAAACCAGTGACCTCTTGGTGCATGGGTCAGTGCTCAACCACTGAGCCACACTGGCCTGGCACACTTGTTTTCCTTTATTTTATTTTTATTTATTAATGTATTAATTTATTGTTGAATATATTATAGATGTTCCTTATTTTTCTCCTATTGACCCCCCCCCCACTCCTGCCCCCCTCCTGCCTTTCCCCACACTGTTGTCTGTGTCCATTGGTTATGCATATATACATATAAGTTCTTTGGTTTATCTCTTCCAACTCCCCACCCCCCCTTTCCTTTGAGGTTTGTCAGTCTAACAACCAATTTGTACTTCTTAATCCCTTCACCTTTCTCACCCATTTCCCCAACTCCCTCCCATCTGGCAACCAACAAAATGTTCTCTTTATCTATGAGAATGCTTCTGTTCTGCCTGTCCATTTTGTTTGTAGATTCAGTTGTGAATAGATATGTATTCATTACCATTGTCGATAGATATGTATTCATTACCATTGTTTGTTCATATATATATATTTTTTTTATCCTCACCTGAGGACATTTTTCCATTTTTTGTTAAGATAGAGTGGGAGGGAGAGAGAGGAACAGAGAGAGAGAGAGAAACATTGATGTGAAAGGAACACATCAAGTGGCTGCCACCCGCACGACCGACCAGGGCCGGGGACAAACTGCAACCGAGGTACACGCCCTTAGCGGGAACCGAACCTGGGTCTCTCAGGACCACAGGCCGACGCTCTAACCGCTGAGCCAAACCGGCCAGGGCTGTTCATATTTTTTAATCTTTTTCTTCAAGAAAACCCTTCAACATTTCATATAATAATGGTTTGGTGGTGATGAACTCCTTTAGCTTTTTCTTATCTGGGAAACTCTTTATATGGCCATAGATTCTAAATGACAGGTTTGCAGGATAGAGTAATCTTGGTTGTAGGTTCTTGCTTTTCATCACTCTGAATATTTCTTGCCATTCCCTTCTGGCCTGCAAAGTTTCTTTTGAGAATTAGCTGACAGTCTAATGGGAACTCCCTTGTAGGTAACTGCTTTTCTCTTGCTGCTTTTTAAAGACTCTCTCTTTGTCTTGAACCTTTTGCATTTCGACGATGATGTGTCTTGGAGTGGGCCTCTGCGGTTCATCTTGTTTGGGACTCTCTGTGTTTCCTGGACTTGTATGTCTGTTTCCTTCGCCAAGTTAGGGAAGTTTTCTGCCACTATTGTTTTGAATAGGTTTTTGATTTCTAGTTCTTTCTCTTCTCCTTCAGGCACCCTCAAGATGCAAACGTTGTTACGCTTGAAGTCCCAGAGGCTCCTTACACTGTTCTCATTTTTTTTGCTTCTTTTTTCTTTTTGCTGTTCTGATTGGGTGTTTTTTGCTTCCTTATATTCCAAATTGATGGTTTGCTTCTAGGCTTTGCCTACTCTACTATTGAATCTGTGTAAATTATTTTTTATTTTAGTTAGTGCCTTCTTCATTTCTGACTGCTCCTTTTATTATGCCCTTGAGGCCCTCAGTTCACTGAGGTTCTCACTAGGTTCATTAAGCATCCTTATAAGCAGTGTTTTGAACTCTGCATCTGTTAGGTTACTTATCTCCATTTCACTTAGTTCTTTTTCTGGAGTTTTGTTCTGTTCTTTCATTTGGGACCTGTTTCTTTGTCTCCTCATTTTGGCTGCCTCCCTGTGTTTGTATGTATTACTTAATGAGAGCTATGGGGCTAGCTGAGACCAGACGCTGCTTGTTTGAAAGAATTTAGGAAAACCTGAAGCAGGATCCAAGACAGGCCAATCCTATCTATGGTAAAGCAACTGGTAACAGCTTGGATGGGCCTGAAAGTTGGGTGGGGCGGGGCCTCAGGGAATCACCAGGGCGGGGCAAACAGTGTGAGCCAGGTTGCTGGAGTCCCAGATATGGCAGCTGTCTGCTGCCCCAGGGAAGGGCTCACCAAAGGAACAGAGGCCTCTGACAGTACATCTGTCCAGGAGACAGCCCCCTCTCCAGCCCTCACTCCAATGCCAAACAGCTCAGTTCTTCTCCATATGTCTCTGGTGCCTTTCAAGCTGCCTCCCCAACACTAGAGCCCAGAAGGAGCGAGTCTGAGTAAGTCTGTGCGTGGGCCCTTTAAGAGGAGCTGCCTGGGGCTCCAGCCACCTCAGCCTCACTCAGCCTGGGTTCCTGCTGGTTTTTCCAGCCAGAAGTTATGGGGACTTCTCTTCCTGAGCTGGGATCCTAATGTGGGACAGGGACCCCTCAGTCCTCAGGGAGGACCTTCCCTGCCAAGGTGTCCTTCTAATTTTTTCCCGCCACACGTGGGTGTGGAACCAGCCTGTTGGGCCTCCACCCCTCCTACCAGTCTCCATGTGGCTGCTTCTTTAATTCCGTAGTTGTAGGACTTACATTCAGCTTGATTTCAGGCGGTTTTGAATGATGGTTGTTCTGTAGTTTAGTTGTAACTTTGAATGCGGTTGTGGGAGGACGCGATACCGAGTTTACCTACGCCGCCATCTTGACCGGAAGTTCCACACCTGTTTTCTTAAGCCCCCGAGTTGGTGATACTTTGTGATGACAGCCCCAGGACACATACCATCAGAAGTCCTAAGTTGGTCAGCACACTGTTTTTCTCCCTAGAAACAGTGGCCTGAACACTGTGTGCCTATGTAGGATTTTGTGGTACAGATTCCTTCTGGCTGTCTCAGTGAGGGTCTTAGTGTGTTCAGGTTCCTATAATAATACCACAGTTTGGGCAGCTTAAACAACAGACACTTAATCATGGTGTGGAGGCTGGAAGTCTAAGATCAGGGTGTCAGCATAATGGGGTACTGGCTTGCAGACAGTCTCCTTGCTGTGATCTCATATGGCAGGGGAGAGAGCAAGTTCTCCTGAGTCCCTGTTCATAAAGGCACTAATCCCATCATAAGAGCACCGCTCTCGTGGCCTCATCGAACACTAGTGACCTCCCAAAGGCCCTACCTCCTAACCATTTCATTGGGGATTTGGGCTTCAACAGGAAGTTAGGGGGACACAAATCAGTCTATAGCAGCTAAGGATCAGAGGCACTGGGCAGGTGTGGAAATCTCTACTTTGATTCTATTTTTATTTTAGTAAGCTGTGGGGTGGGGATATGGGCTTTTGCCCTGAATACTTGGTGGATCTTTCCCTACCTTTTATATTTCTGTTGTCGCTGTGTTTCTTGTCACCCTCACTTAGCATCCCAATTTGACAGACTTCCATCACCTAGAACAACAGACAGGAAAAGTCACATGGTGTTGAATCAGGACCATCTCCTAAAGGCTTCCACCAGGAAGCATTTCATTGACCAGAGCAAGTCACATGGCTGCCTACCTAATGCAGGAGTTGAGAGACACTAAGCTGCTCCCTTGTACCAGGAAGGAAGAGAATCAGAAATGGTGGTGAAAATCAACTAATGACCACTGTCAAGTCCCTCTCAAAGAGAGTTTTGCCCTGACCCAGGGTTGGCAAACTTCCAGTAAAAAGCCAGTAGATTTTTTGGTGTGTGTCATGGGCCATACAGTGTCTGTCCAGACTACTCAACTCTGCTATTGTAGCTGAACAGATGGAAATGGATGCATTCCAATAAAATTTCATTTACACAAAGAGGCTGAGGGCTGTAGTCCAGGGCATAACTCTGACCCTTTCCCATCTACGTGCTAGAACAGCTTGCTGCTTGGAGTCTTATACTCCCAACGCCTCTTCCCTTCTTTCTCCCTTTCCCAGTCTCTTCTGACAGCTAACTGGTTCTGCCTCTGTAGGAGCAGCCACTAAAATATCCCTGCAGCAGCGAAGCACCTGGGGGCCCTCGGCCTGTGCAGGAGCCAGATGTGTGCTCTTGGCCCAGGCACCCACTCTGCATCATCTTCGAACCAACCGCCCCTCCCTGATACCCTGTGCCTGAGCTGGAATTGCCCTCCTGGGATTTCTCATGTTGCTTCAACATCCAGATCCCACCTTCATGTCATTCATTCCAATTCTGCTGTCCTTTACTTGGAATGCCAACATCCAGCTAATCATCCTTTAGCAACTGCTGCCTTCACAGGGCAAACAGTATTGAGAGGGAGACCCATGCACAGGAGACCATAACCCACGGGGTCAGGGTGGTGGGGTGCCACACAGTGCCAGAGGAGGCCCCTATGTCACCCCAGGATAAAGATGCAAAGGATCAAGCCACATTAGGGGAAACAGAAGAGTGTGCCTGGGAGGGACCCACAGAGGCAGAGGAACCGAGAGGAGACTGGTAACACTGACCCCCGGAACAAGAGGCAGCTGCTGTGGGCCTACAGCGAGCTGCCTGCAGGCCCCACAGCAACAGTTGCAAGTTCTCCTTCTTGGGGCAGAGGGCGGGGCCAAGCTGGGGAGCAGGGAGGCCAGGTTTGGAGCACAGATTTGGGAGACACAGGGAGGGGAGGTTGTGGGAGTGGGGTGGGGACAGGTCCCTGGTGGGGTTTTATAGGAGCACTTTTCTGGGAAGATGTGAGCTCTTGGGAGGCAGTGAGGAGGAAGAGAGGAGTGGATTATCCTGGGAAAAGCACCACAATAACCTCATCTTCCAAGCCCCACCTGCTAGGGCCCTCTTCCTGGAAGCCCTCTCTGCTCTCCCTCTCATCCCACCCTACACCCAGCCCAGGCACTCCTCTGGCTCTTCCTGACCTACTCCTTTTTAAATGCCACCCTGTCCACTCTCTTGTGTTTCTTTTTAGTTTGTAGCCCAGTTTGCTGCTGGAACAGGCACCTGCCTACACACAGCATGTAGCTTTATCTGCCTGACACGTAGGTGCTCAGGAAGTGTTGGTTGTGTCCTAGCTTGGCAGAACTGCTGGGTGATCTTGTGAATGTTACTTAACCTCTTTGGACACCCTACCCCTATTTCAGAAATAAAAAAATTGGCCTGTGAACCTCCAAGTAGGTGGCCTTGGGCTGTATTGGTGTTGACTGGACCTTCGAGTTCCCTTCCCTGGCCTGCTTAGCCCCAGGCACTCCCGATGGGCTTGTTCTGCATCCTGTCCTCCCATCACCACAGCTTCATTTGGGATCCAAGATCAGGGCAGGTGAGAGCTTTGGCTCTAGTGCACCTGGGTCAAGTCATACTTCTGACATGTCTTCACTGTCACTTCAGAGAGCATCCTCTTGTCCATGAGCCAGTCTCCTTGCCTGTAAAACAAGCATTCTCTCCCTCTTCCCTACCTTGCCCCTGGCCCAGGCTTGAGGGAGGCAAGTGTGGGGAGTAGAATGCAGTTCAGACCCCACCTGGCTGGTGCAGATAGTGCCAGGGCCCCCAAGGAGCTCCCAGCCTTGGGAGGAGGTGGGGTCAGCCCAACCCAGGACTTCCAGATAGGATCTGAAAGCTAAGTTACCAGTCAGATGTGGAGCTAGGAGGAGAGCACTCTAGGCAGAGGGAACAGGAACAAAGGCCCTGGGTGGTGCTGATTTTGCTCAGACTGCAAAAAATGGCTGCGGGGCTGGGCACTCGGGAGGGTTTCGAACTGGAGAAGCAGGTGACGGGTTTATAGTTTAAAAAACAAAACAAAACAAAAAATACCCTTGTGGTTGGGGTTAACCTCCTAAAGCTACTCTCTGTGCACCTGGAATGGAACAAGGAAGCAAGTGGAGGGTGGATGGTGGGAGGCAGGATTCTCACTAGAGACATCTGCACGAATTCATGTTCAACTTATAGGTACAGATAGTTACATATGGAAATATTTATAGATTTGTGTATATACATATATACACAGGTTAGTGTACACACGTATGTCTTTGCTCTGTCAGCTGAGAGGGCCTAGAAGCAGTGATATCCCAGTAGTAACAAGCACCCCTACTGCTCCTGTCTTGGTTTCTAACACGGTTCTCCAGTGAAAGTCTGCTCCTTGAAGAAAAGGCTTATTCTTGGTCTAGGATGGGAAATAGATGAGATGAGCTTGGAGATTCTTGTAGTGACAGAGTAAGGAGGTGCTAAAAGAAAAATACCAAGGATGTGACGGGGACATGAGAACCAAATGAATGAGCTCCCAGTGGCCAAAGCTGGAAAAATTTGAGCAAGAAAAACAGTAAAGTAGTATTGGATTATAACCCGACATGTAAAATAAAGATTAAGTACATACTGATATAGATAATTGAATAGATAAATAAAGGGCAGCGAAGAGACATTTCCCAAGCAAGAGTCCCAAATAATGTATGCAGACGCTCTGCCCTCAAGGAGGGGGAGGCAGGACTCCCCACCCTTAGGTGTAGGCTGTAAATAATGGCTTCATTCCAAAGGACCCAGCACGATATGGGGGAAGAGAGAAGATTTACAGAGGAGACACCTGACAAGCACCACCTCAGCGAGGTGATCAAGGTCAACATCACAGTGATAAGTTCTGTTGATGGCATTTACCCTGGTCTTAGTGTGATGACAAGAGTACTTCAACTCTGTGGTTCTCCTCCCCACACCCTTCACCCCAATCCAACCATGAGAAAAACATTACACAAATCCCAACTGTGGTAATCATATAGTTATACATAGAAATATCAAATCAATATGTATACCTTAAATTTGTATGATGTTATATGTTAAATATATTTCAATATATGTATATTTTAAGCTCAGCTGGTGTGGCTCAGTGGTTGAGCATCAACCCATGCACCAAGAGGTTGCTGGTTCAATTCCCGGTCAGAACACATGCCCAGGTTGTGGGCCAAATCCCCAGTGGGCATGCAGGAGGCAGCCAACTGATATTCTCTCTCATCGATGTTTCTATCTTCCTCTCCCTTCCTCTCTAAAATCAATAAAGAAACAATTTAAAAAATATATATATATTTAAATATGTTTTTATTGATTTTAGAGGGGGAGAGAGAAATATCGATGTGAGAACAACATTGATTGGTTGCCTCTGGTATGTACCCTGACCAGAGATCAAACCCACAATTTGGGTATGTGCCCTGACCAGAAATCAAACCCACGACCTTTTGGTGCTTGGGGCGACACTCAATCAACTGAGCCACAACGGCCATGAGCCAACAATCCTAATTCTGGGCCATCCTACAAAACTCCTGACCAGTTCTCAAAACTGTAAAAGGTCATCAAAACCAAGAAAGTCTGAGAAACTGTCTGAGCCCAGAGGAGCTTCAGGAGACATGGCAACTAAATGTCACTTAGAATCCTGGGACAGAAAAAGGACACTAGGGAACTGAGGAAATCTGAATAAATTATGGACTTCAGTTAATGTCTCAATATTGGTTCAGTAATTGTGACAAATGTACAACATTAATGTAAGATGTTAATAATAGGAAAACTGGGTGTGAGATACACAGGAACTTTTCATGCCATCTTCACAATAATACCGTAAATTGAAAACTGCTCAAAAATTTTTTTAAAAAGATAGTTGCCATGGGAAATAGAGATTGTCTGAGGGGTGGAGGCAACAAGAGGCTCCAGTAGGAAACCGAGGCAGCATCCAGGCTGGAGAATACTGGGCCTGGATCCGGGGCCACTTTGGGGTACAAGAAAATGGGAGATCCAGGGCGTTTCGGAGAACCAATGTGGATGATAAAGGGAGAAGATTCTCAGGGACTCCCAGGCCTCTGGGGAGGCTGGTGGAAGAGCAGGTGTGGGTGGGAGGCAGGCCAGCGGGGTATTGAAATAGAGGGTTGAATGGGGTAGGGGCAGGCACTATGTCTCATTTTTGGAGGACTCACGTGTGAGGGGTAGGAGCCTTTCAGATGTGTGATATGACAGCATTCTTGGAGATGGTTTTCCCCACCCCTGGGTCTTGATTTTCAGCTGTCTTTCTGAAACTGCTGGCTTACTGTGTGTCCTCCCGGCGAGTTCTTGCCTTCTCTTAGCCTCAGTTTCCCCATCTGTAAAATGAGGATCAATAATGTCTCACTCACAGGCTCGTGGGGGGCATCAGATGAACCCTGCTCAGTGCACACAGTGGGCGCTCAATACATTTGGTCGTCCCTTCCCCCTCCCACCGGGTCTTGGATGGAGTGGCGTCTGTGGCTTTAAATTATGCAGATAACCTGCAGGTGGTGGAGGAGGGTGAGATTAAAAGGAGCCTGACTCAGCGAATCAGTGCGCAGGGCTGGCGAAGCTGGACACCTTCATGGCCCAATAGCTGGCTGTGCCGAGTCCGAGTCCGCCCTGCCTTCGGGTGCTGTCGCGGTGGTGGGGACTTTCTCGGCCACACCTCGGAGGCGGAGCCTCCCAGCCGCCCCGCAGCAGCCGCGGAAGGAGGGGCGGGGCGGGCTCGGGTGTCAGAGACCGAGCCGCAGGTGGCGGCGGGCGCGAGGCTCGGCCCGAGCTCGGGAGGTGAGTGGATCCCCACCAATCCCCCTGGACCGCGCAGCCCCGCCTGCGCACGCACCATGACCCGCAGTCCTGGTGGCCACCGGGGGCAAAGACGCGGCGGGCCTTGGGGGGATGGCGAACAGGGGTCCGGGGGGGCTGCACTGTGGGCGCCTCTGTCTCCCTCAGGTGATAATCAGAGATCCACGGAGAGAGATAGGGACCTCTCTGTCCTAGTCCCCGGTCTTCTGGCTGAGAACCGGAGTGTACAAGGAGGCAGCTATGATGCGAGACCCTTCCCCAAATCCCTTTATTCTAAGCCTGTATCTGGGTCTAGGTTCTGGGGCTGCAAAGATGGGTGAACCGCTCCCCCTCCAGCCTGGGACCTAGGATAGCCTAAGTAGAAACCATCCCCATTTTCCCTCTTCCCAGCTGGGACCTGCAGACCCTCCTGGGACCAAGATGAGGAACCTTCCCTTTTTCTCTACTGCAAACCCCGATCCAGTCCTGGTAGAGGAACTGGGGGTCCTCTGGGCCCCTCCTGTAGATTGTCCTATCCCAGCCCCTTACCACAAGGATGAGGCGGGACCTTTCATTGGCATCCTCTTTAAGGACCCCAAGGTTGGAATTCTGGGGAGTGGGTCAGTGTGGGGTCCCTTGCCTGGTGGGTCTGGCCAGGCCAGGCCTGGAAGGGCCTGGAGTAGACTTGGGAGTGTCCCCTGCCTCAGTGAGGGTTGGGCAGTGAGCATCTGTTCCTGGGTATTAAAATAAATCTAGGTAAATTAGGATCTTACTGGAGGCTGACTATGAGTGGGATGTGGAGGAGGGGTGGGCGGCCCCTCCATCTGCCTCAGATCTTAGGAGTCATCTGCCCCAGTCACAATGGGGACCAGGAGGCAGCTCTGGATAGACCTGTCTTTGGTGACCTTGGGCAAGTGACGGCACCTCCCTGAGCCTCAGTTTTTTCCTTTGAAAATGGGGTTGGGGGCTTCAGAGCCTGTATTCTATAGGTTCTGAAACCCACCCACCCCTATCTTTTGCCAGATCTTGATCCCACCCTTTTGCTTAAGATGTCAGTGGTTTGGGGGTAAGAGAGCAGTGGGTCTGAAGCGCTCCCCCACCCCTGACATGCCTTGCTGGCCTCTAAGCCTCAGTTCACTGCACTGCAAAATGGGTTGATGATCACACTGTGGCATTGCTGGAAGGGCTACTCTGCCTGACAGTAAATTATATCACCAGGCTGCAATAATTGGAACAGGAGTTCCACCACCCAGGTCTCACCAGCAGGACTGCCCAGGGCACACCCTGACCCACATACCATCACCCACGCCAGAGGCAAGACAGTACCTGGGTGGGGTCCTGGGCAGGTGGAGGTTCCTCCGGGCCAGCCCGTCCCTGTTCCTTTGAAGCTTTGTCCCTGTAGTGGACACAGGGGTGAGCACTGGGCTGGGAGTCCAATGCCCCTAGGTTTAAATCTGGTTCTCCTGTGTGTGGCTTTGGCCCTCTGCACCTTGGTGTGTTTTTCTGTGAAATGGGCGGAATTCCTCTTGGAAGATTAAAGGAGACTGTGGGAAGATGGGAGTGCTGTAAATACAGACATGATCATTATAATACTAATTGCAATATTACTAATCATAAATGGGTCACAGCTAACCAGGAGTGGAGAGGAGAGAGAGGAATCTGCAAGGGTGTCACCTGCTGTGTTTCCAGCCTGGCAGTCAGGTAGAGTGGGTGCTCAGTAGGTGTTAGCCAAAAAAAGTGATGACGGTGTGGGGGGGCACCAATGGGGAGGACTGAAAATTTTCTGTGAACTCAGATGCCCAGTCAATGGTCCATTTGCTGTGTAATGTGGGGCCTATGCCTCAGTTTCCCCATTTGGGGTAATGGCCATGATGAGATTCTGTCTCTAAGTGTCATTGTGAGAATCAAGCCAGAGTGTAAATGGTCACAGTTGTGGTGGCTGAGCCTGGAGGGAGGAGGTACACAACAGAATTGGTCATTGAAACAGCATGGCCAAGAGGCTGGTCACAGAAAAGAAGAGAAAAAAAAACAAACTGGCCCTACTGTGAGCAAACTGGAGTTGAGGGGGAGCAAAATGTCAGATTCTGTTTCACAAAATTCAGGAGGCCCAGCGAGGTCAGGAGTGTCCCAAGGTCACCCAGCAGAAGGCCAGGAACCAGAGTCTGACATTCTTTGCTGACTGGGCTCCTATCCTGGGCCTGGTCTCACACTAGACCAGGTGCAGATTTGGGGGAATTGGTGCTGGGGAGGCAGGATTCATCTCCAGGATGTGTCAGGGCTCATGTCAGACACCTCCAGGGAGGACTGTGTTCCCTGCTTCTAGCAGCCAGCGGATAGGGGGCCTTCTGGTCACCTGACAACCTGCTGTTTGACCTTGGGCAAATTCCTGTCTATCTCTGGGCTTTGCACTGACATTACACAAGCCAGGAGACCTGAATTCCAGCGGGGCTAACTACTCCATCAGATGTACTGACCACCGTGTCTCTGGCACAATACTTTTAGGGTTCTATGAAGATGTGTTAACTTCTTTTAAAATCAGAAGGGAAAGAAAATTGGAATAAAAGAAAACATTTAAATATATGACATTAGTATATTTGTCTTTATGTCAATGCAGTTGGAAAATATGGTTTAAATTCTTTTCTTAACAGAGGATGGGGCCCAGGAAGGCAAAATTGCCTTGAGCCTGTGAAAGTCCTAATGAGGCCCTGGGTTTGAGTCTCAGCACTGCCATTCATTAGCTGTGCAACTTTGGTCATGTGGCCTCCCCTCTCTGAGCCTTGGTTTTCTCATCTATGAGCAGGCATCACTGGCCCACCTCTGGGCAGTGAGTTGTGGAATGCTTAGCCTAGGGTTGGTATTCAATTTGCAGGTTCTATTATTTCACAATTGTCATTATTATGATTTGTTGGGTAATATATAGCCCCAGGCTGAGAGTTGCAGGTTCAGGGGCCTCAGTTTACTCATCCATGGCCTGCTCAATTGCAGAGAGGTCCCATGGGTGCTGCTCTGGGAGGGGAAGGTGAGGTGGCAGTTGGGCATTGGGCGGGGCGGTGTACTTCCTGTCCCCCACACCCACAGGCCTCCGCTTCGCGGAAGTGGCAGGGGCTGCATGGCTATATCTAGTGCCTTCTCTGTCTGATCAGAGCCGAGCCCCACTCGCTGCCCTGTTCGGTGAGTTTGAGCCCCCATGGCCTCTCCGTGCCCCCGTCAGAAACAGAAGGGATGCCCCTCTGCCTCCTAGGTTTCAGAAACAGCAGGTGTCACTTCCTGGGCCTCGCCAGGCCTGTGGGGGGTGGGGGAGCTGCCCCCGATTACTGCTCTGAGTAGTGTGGGTAGAGTGAACATGGAGACCCAGAGCCACCCATGGCAGATCTGAACAGGAGTCCTTTAGCAGGCAGGCCACGGACAAAATCACAGTGACCTGGGGACAGTGAATAACCTCTCTGTGCCTCAATTTCCTCATATATAAAGTTGTTTTTTTTTTGTTGTTTTTTTTTTATTATTTACTCATATATAAAGTTTTTATTGCACCCCATAGTGTGGTTGTGCAGGTTAAATGAACGGGGACCTGTGATGAGTTGAGCACAGCGCCACACACATACTGGCGTTCAGTGTATGGGGCCGGGGGGCAGATCTAATGAGAGTTGTTAAAAACAGTAGCAAGCCCAGCTGGTGTGGCTCAGTGGTTGAGTGTCAACCCATGCACCCAGAGGTCTCCGGTTCGATTTCCAGTCAGGGCACATGCTCAGGTTGTGGGCCCAATCCCCAGTTGGGGGCACGTAGGAGGCCGCCAATTGATGTTCTCTCTCATCAATGTTTCCATCTCTCTCTCCCTCTCTCTCTCAAAATCAATAAAGAAAAAAAAAAACAGTAGCGAGATTCTTGGTTTCTGTGGAACTTGGTCCGGTGGCTCCTAGGATCCTCAAAAGCAGCAGTGTCTAATGAAATCTCTCTCTGTGCTGTCCTACATGACAGCTGCCAGCCCCGTGTAGTTACTGAGCCCTGGAAGCAAGGCTGGTGCAACTGAGGAGCCAGGAGCTTCGCTGTATGTAACGTTACTTGGTTGAAAAGATTACAGCCCTGGCCAGTGTGGCTCACTTGGTTAGAGCATTGTCGGATGAAGTGAAGGGTCATAGGTACGATTCCTGGTCAAGGCACATACCCAGGTTGTGGGTTCGGGGCATGTAAGGGAAGCAACCAGTTGATATTTCTCTCTCTCTCCCTCTCTTTTTTGAAGCAATGAAAAACATATCCTTGGGTGAGAATTAAAAATTTTTAAAAATTAAGTTGCTACTTGAGGCTAGTGGTTCCTATATCAGTCAGCATAGCTCTAAAGGATTTAGAGATGCTCAGAGTCTAGATCATAGTCAGAAACTAAGAAATGAGAGAAGTTTAAGGCTTTTACTTTTTTTTTTTTTTTTTGTATTATCTTCAAGTGGAGAGAGAGAGAGACAGGGAGAGAGAAAGAAACATTGATGTAAGAGAGAGACACATTGACTGGTTGCCTCCTGCAGACCCCAACCAGGGCCGGGGATGAACTGCAACTGAGGTACGTGCCCTTGGCTGGAATTGAACCCAGGACTCATTGGTCCGAGGGCCGATGCTCTACCACTGAGCCAAACCAGCCAGGGCAAGGCTTTTCCTTTTTGGGATGTCAGCCTAGCATATCCCCTGACAAACTGGGTTTCCTCAGGGGCTATACTGGCCACTGAAGTTTCTCAGGAGCCCCAGTATCACCCAGCACAGGGTAGTGGTTAGAAATGTTTGTTGAATCAAAATTTTTTTTTTTATGTGGACTCCTATTCATGCTTTAAAACCCCAACACCCATGCTCCTCTCCTTCAGTCCAAGGTCCCCCAGTTCTTGTTCTTCCATTTGGTCCAGCCCTGACCCTGCAGGACCAGGGTAGGTATCTATCCAGCTCTGTTCCTCTGGGAGCAGGCCCAGGGCTGAATCATCTCACAGACCCTGGTATTGTCCTGGCCACATGGGCACATGGTAAGTGCTGAATGAAGTCAAGGGACTGGGGCCTAGATGATAATGGATCAAGTTAAACTCACTTTCAGGAATAGGTAAACTGAGGTTCAGCAATGGCAAGACTTGTCCAAGGTCCTTGCTTGGTCCTTTCCCAGTAAGGTCCAGGGAGTTTTCCCATCCTGTTCTCACCAGCCCTGTCCCTGTCGCCACCGTACCTCCTGGGCTCCCAGCTGCTGCTGAGCTGCTTTCGGAGTCATGAATTATGAATGGGGCCAGCAAGCTCCAGTGACAAGCCCAGCCTCGAGGACATGCCAAGGACACCAAGTGTCCCTCTGTTGTCAGGTGGCTTGGCCCACCCCCTCTTTGGGGAGTTCTGGGGTACCCAAGCAAGACTCCATCTAGGCTTTCTGTCTTGTTTTGCAGATGGGAAAACTGAGGCACAGAGCTGGACAGTGACTTAGATACCAGGTGAACACTGGCTTTCAGGGGGCAGAGTTGGGACTCATGGGGGCACCATTGCCAGCTGGGTCACCATGGTGAGAGGTGAGCTCTCTATTCCAGGAGTGTGAATGAGATGGGGACTCTTGTAGAGGATTCAGGAGACCCCAAGAAACCCAAACACCCATGTGGCCAATCACAGCCCCAGTGTCTGTTTCTCACTGGACCCTTTTCCCACAGCAGCTGCCTAGAGTGGAGCTGAGTGCTCAGGTCTGGACTCAGCTGGCCCAGGGTGCAGATCTACTATCAATTCCTGACTGTGTGACCTTGGCAAGTGGTTTCCTCCAGGCAGGGGGTGGTGCTGTTTCCCCATCTATAAAATGGCCAAGATCTTTACTGCCCAGGCCAGGGCTCATCTAGTAGCCTCCCCAACAGTGAACTCCTGTTTGTGCTTAAGAACCCCAATTCCCTTGTCTCTTCCTCTAGTCTAGGCTGCCCTAGCCACTATCCCTTCATCTAACCCCATAGCACTTAGAGTGTCTGTATCCAGCTTTGTCCTCCTAGACTGGGGGCTACTTGGAGGCGAGGCCTGAGACTGAATCATCTTAGGAGCCCTGGCATGCTCCCAGCCTTGGGACTTTTGGTTCCTCCATTGTCTTCTCTCTCTCTCCTCCACAGGGAGGACAGTTGGAATTTCCCCTCCTCAGACCCAAGACAGCCATGACTTTGCAGCTCAAACTTGCCTTTCCTTCAGACAGGCACTAGACAGGAGCCTGCAGGGATCTCCACAGAGGCCATCAGGATGTCATATTTTGGGGAGCATTTTTGGGTAAGTAAGACCTGCTCTTATTTTGGTAGGTATTCTTGAAAGGTCTTTTATGGAGGTGGGGGTGGGGATAGCAGCTTGCGGGCAGAATCTTGGGCAAGTGGAGAGTCTGTAGGAAATAGAAGTTAAAGTGGGAAGAGTCAGGCTGGGTTCAAATCTATACCCCACAGACCAAATGGGCCTTTGTGACCTTGGGCAAGTCACAACTTGAAAAACAGAGACTGAGGCTCAGAGTAGGATTTTTTTACCTGAGTTTGCCCAATGAGATAGTGCAGGTTCAGGGCTCAAATCCAGGGGCAGACTGAACTTTCAGGATCCAGGGTCATTCCAGCCAGAGGAATTCCATGTCTGCCCATCCTGAAGAATTGGGGGTGTGGGAGGGGGGTTCATGGCTTGACCCCTAAGGGCCACCTTACCCATTTGTCCTCTGGGCTAGGAACCACATACTGTGACCTAAGGGGGCCAAGTGAGATGCACTTGTTTTTTTATAATCCTCTCTCAAGGATATTTTCTCAAATATCTTCAGATAGAGTGGGAGGCGGGGAGAGAGAGGGAGAGAGAGAGGGAGAAAGAGAGAGAAAAACATTAATGTGAGAGGGATACATAGATTGGTTGCCTCCCGCATGACCCCAACTAGGGTCGGGGACGAACTGCAATGGAGGTACATACCCTTGACTGGAATTGAACCTGTGACTCTTTGGTCCACGGGCTGACAATCCCGCTGAGCCAAACCAGCCAGGGCAAGATGTTTTTATTCATTCATTCACACTCTCCTTCCCAGCCACCAACTTCCCACACCAAGCCAACTCTGGGGGATACTGCCCCCCAAGAGGCTCCATCCTAGCTCTGACTTCAAGGAGCCCCCAATCTGGGGAAAACAGAGCCAGCCAGTCTCCTCCAACCCTGCAGTACCTTGGAGGCACCCAGAGGAGGAGCCAGGACACAGAGCTGTGTTTGCTGTGAGCTTTGAAGGCTGAGACTTTCTAGGATGTCAGCAAAGCATTCCAGGCACAGGGAACAGCCTGAATAAAAGCCCAGAGTGTGACACTGGCTGGCTTGTGGAGGGCACAGGACTCCTCCTGCAGGGTCAGGCTAATGGGGAGCCACAGAGGGTGTGTGAACCAGGGCAGAAAGCCCCTTCCCCAGTTGCAGGCCCTGAGCTAGCAGAGAGGAAGCCAGTTGCTAGACAACTGGTTGCCCCTAGCAACAGGCCCTGCTCCCTTCCTTTCTCCCTCCCCAGCTGGGGCTCCTCTTACTGGCCTTGCTTTCTTAAAGGGGCCACACCCCCTTGCCATCTGTGTGGACCTGACCTCCACCCCTTCCCAAGGGTCAGAGTCTCTAGATTTGCCTCTGAATGACTGTGTGACCCTAGTGAGGGGCTGCCTCTCTCTGAGCCCCTATTCGCAACTCTGCATAACGAGGTTGACTGGTTGAAGATCAGTTATTTTGCCCATGTGTTGGAACACTGACAGCAGCACCTACATTTATTTAAAATTCTTCTTAATTGCATGAAGCATCAAGCTCCCTGTAGAAAATTCAGATCAGCAAAGAGAAAATAGAATCCACCCCCGACCCATCTCCCCACCACCAAAATACCGTCTGGAGCGCAGTGAATAGGAACTCTGAGTTTGGGGATTTGAATGGGCTCTGCTGGGAGCCCTTGGGCCGGTGACTGCATCTGAAAGCCTCAGTTTCCCCATCTGGGAAAGGGGGATGAAATTCCTGCCTCCTGGGGGCCCAGGAAATACCTCTGGAATGTCTGTTTCTTTTCATCAATTGTTTGTATTGTTGGCTTTTTGCTGGGTGACACTGGGGCTCTGACTGGCCTGAAGGAGGTCCCAGTCATGGGAGATCAAGTTAGGCAGGGATGCTCTAGTCCTGTTGGGCCACAGCAGGGCTGGAGGCATAGAGGGCACTAGGTACCATGGGGGAGTGTGAGCAGGAGAAGAACATGATCAAGCTGTGTTAGAAAGATCCCTCTGAGGCTGGTGGGGGGCAACACTGACGTCCAGAGGTTCTGATGGGAGAGACAAGTTTGAGACAGCCCCTCCTTTGACCCTCAGCTGCCAGCTCAACCTGAGGGAGGCAGAGACTGCTGGGGGCTTTGCCAGGTCTGGGAAATGGGCCAGCAGTTGGCTCTGAGTCTGCCCCAGATGTTGGCCTGGTCAGTGGTGCCTGGCGTAGCCTTCCTCGGGGATCCCCTGGCCGAGGCTGGCGGGGCTGCTGGGGCTGTTTGCAGAGCACTCACCACTATGTAGGAAGCCCTGTGTCCAACACTGTATTAGCCTCATGTCACCAAAACCCTTGGCAGGTGGGTGCTATATTGTCCCCATTTGTCAGATGAGGACACTGAGATCCAGAGAGATGCAGTCACTGGCCCAAAGTGACTCTGTGCATAAAAGGAGGATTTGATTCTTGACTCTTGAAAGTACAATTGTAGACATAGAAAGAGGAAACACATTGCTGGTAACGGAGGGATCAATAGTGAACATTCAGGGAGTGGGAGTCTGAAGAGGATCTGAGAAGGTTCTTTTTTTTTTAATCCTCACCCGAGGACACTTTTTCATTTTTTGTTCAGATAGAGTGGGAGGGAAAGAGAGGAAGAAAGAGAGAGAGAAACATCGATGTGAAAGGGACACATCAAGTGGCTGCCTCCCGCACGACCCAACCAGGGCTGGGGACAAACTGCAACCAAGGTACATGCCCTTAGCGAGAACCGAACCCGGGTCTTTCTGGACCGCAGGCCGACGCTCTAACCGCTGAGCCAAACTGTCCAGGGCTGAGAAGGTTCTTGAGCAGGTAGGTCTTGCAATGATCCCTGAGAGGTGGAAAGATTTGAATGGTGGGAAGAGATGTAGGCCGGTAAGCCGGGTGGCGGAACAGTGCAGTGGCGGGAAGGTGTAGCATGTCCTTGCTCTGTTTGCTGTTTTTAGGGCAAGGCTAAGAGGAAGCTGAGAGAGATGAAGTTGGAAAGGTAATTCCAGACTAAGGGCTTTGGGCTTCAGCAGCTGGTGGGCAGTAGGGAGCCATCGATGATTCTAGAGTGAGGAGTGACTGTTTGAAATTTGAGGTTGAGCCAGTCCTGGGTATGCTCCAGTCTTGGCTTCAGTTTCTCCATTTGTGCAGTATGAGGGATCATTTGGTAGTGATTTCTGGCTTTAGCCCTCAAGCTTCTAGATAACTGGAAAGGTGAACCTCACATATTGGAGGAGGACTGAGGAAACCATTTACGAAGGACCTGCCAAGTGCTGCCAAAGGGGTTGCTTCAGTGATTGGTGTTGACAGTGAAATAACATCAGATCCCTCCATGAGCCTCTTCTTCCAGTCTAAATCACAAGGCCCCATTTTGTGCTAAAATGTCTCCCCTTGAATCCCAGCTGACCTCCCATTTTAATGAACAGCTAGTGTTCAGACATGATGTTCTTATGTGTGACAGAGTCTGGCGACATTAAAACATAGCTGTTGCTTTATTTTTATTCCTGTTCCCTTCATTATGGCATGGGGTCCTGGTTTTCCACTTAGAATAGTGGTAAAAGTTGCCCTTTTAAATAAATGTGTTTGGAAAAGGAACAGTAGCAAACTTAAAGCAAAACATTATCTAATGCCACGGATTAACAGAAACTAGGGTTGCCTTGGGGCACTGGTGGACCCTGATCATCTTGGTGTTTATTCACTCTCATATGATGACTACCTGCCCCCCTCTTTTTTAAAAAAAAAAATCCTCACCCGAGGACATTTTCCCACTTTTTGTTCAGATAGAGTGGGAGGGAGAGAGAGACAGAAACATCAATGTGAAAGGGACACCCACACGACCCAACCAGGGCTGGGGACAAACTGCAACCGAGGTACGTGTCCTTAGCGGGAACTGAACCCAGGTCTCTAGGGACCACAGGCCGACGCTCTAACCACTCAGCCAAACCGGCCAGGGCTCCCTGCCCCTATCTTAATGCGTGTCCACTAAAGAGGGACAATGACTTGCCTGGACCACACAGTACAGCCCTGGCCTCCCCCACCATGGCGTCCCCAGAACTTAGATGAAAGAGGTTTTGTTCAATGCACCAGCAGGCACCAGGGTAGAAGCTCTGTTCCCACCAGTACTGGGGAACAGCAGAATCACTCGTTTGTTCATTTATTTAACAAATTCAAATGCTCTTTCTGTGCCCTGCCCTGAACTGGATATTGCTAGGTCCTGAGAGAGGTGTCAGATCCAGATGTTGCTCTGGGGGCTCAGACGAGGAGTTTCCACGTTAAAGAGAAAAGAAAATCAACAGTGACTTACACAACAGTGATCATGTTACTTCACAAAATTGAAATGTTATGGGGTAAAGCGGCTTTCAGGGTTGGTTTGATCCAGCAACTTGACTCAATATGCTTGTTATTCGGACTCTCTTAGGTTCAGCTTCTTTCCAAAGTTCATGGTTTCCACTTGGCTTCCAATATCTTCTGTGCCCACATAATTCTTCATTTATGGGAAAGTGCAGACAGAGAAAAACAGGGGAGAAGAGACCAATAGAGGCAGCGACTCAGAAAAAGAGAGATGGAGAAACAAAGACAGAAAGATAGAAACAGAGAGGCAACTAGTGAATGAGAATGTATCTCACGGGACAAAAATCCCAGGCTTCTCTCTGATTAGGCTAATTTAAGGCCCATGAGCCAATCCTTGGGTGGCGGTCCAGGGGTGGTGGTGAACCAATCCCTACAGCCAAGGGGCTGGACTTCTGCTGGGTGGGTCCTTTGTTTACGCCCCTGTTGCTAGATAACACTATGTCTTTATGCATCCTTTTCTCAGTCTCCACCTCCATTCTTTGCAGGGCGAGAAAAACCATGGTTTTGAGGTTCTGTACCACAATATGAAGCAGGGACCCATCTCCACCAAGGAGCTGGCGGACTTCATCCGGGAGAGGTGAGTTTCCCACACTCCACCTGCCACGTGGCCATGCCCTACTGTCCACCCAGTGCCCCATTGCCTATCTCGTGGCCTCGCCCATCTCACCTCACAGCCACACCATGCCCTGTGGGCTCCAGGAACCAAACCTGCTTGAAGACCTTCAAAACCAGTGTTCTCAGCACTCTCAGCCCCATGATGCCCTGCAAACAACATTCCCCAGGCTTCTAATGCCTCCTGAAAAGACCATAGTATGACCTACTTAAAGGGGAATTTCGAAAACTCAATCTTGTGCCCTAAGTGTGATAAAACAAAACACGTGATAAAATAATCTCCATTTCAGTATGTAAATGTTCTGATGGTAGTATCCCAGACACTAAATCATGTTTAGCAAAATCACGTTGCAAAGCAACCTTCTGCTACCCGGTCACTCAGCCTAATGCCTGCTAAATCCAGGCAGAGAGTTCAAAGGATTATAACCAGGTTTGTCTCTTCATGGCTGTCTAAGACATATAGGACAGAGGCTACTCTTTGTTTTGTGGGTCTTCCACCCCTGTGGTACTCCATGGATGCCTCTATCATATAATGCCCCCCTGGGTAATTGGTTTTAACTGGCCCCATTGCTGCCTCAAGCAAAATTAACGTTCTGTTAGTCCAGATGAAAATGTGAGTGGATATTAGGTATGCATTTAGCAGTGTCTATCCAGAGGGAAAAGGGAAATATGAGTTTATCTCCTGCAATTAAATGTGACAAACCATATAAAGCATTTATAGTATGTGCTCAAAATTTTTTTTTTACCTGCTGCTGCTACTGTTGCTGTTGTTAGTAAAATGTATTATTTAAGGATAAAAACCTCTCTCGTGAATTTCCTGATACTGTCCTCACTATATGCTACTGCTTTGATGTTACAATGGGGAAACTGAGGCCTGGGGTTGGGGGGGGGGGGGCAGCGTATCTCCCATGGGTGCCCAGAACCTTCCCTAGCTTTTCCCTGTCCTCCTACCCAGGGCCACTATTGAGGAGACCTACTCGAAAGCGATGGCAAAACTTTCCAAGCTGGCCAGCAATGGGACCCCCGTGGGGTGAGTGGGCCATGGATGGGGTAGAGGTGCCCAAGGCTGTGAGGTCCTGGGGTGATCAGGAGCCTTCCCTTGAGTGGACATCTTTTCACAGATGTGACATGTAGGATAGGGAGTCATCCTCCCACTTATGGGGCTAAATGAACAGAGGAAGGTATATCATTCATTCACTTGCTATCTCATTTACTCCCTTAACAAATATTTACTGCGTACCTACTGTGTGCAGGCATTGTTCTAGGCACTAGGGACCCAGTGGCCATCAAGAGAAATAAAATCCTCAATTACCTTCATGCTATGTTCATGCCATGTACATCTAGGATGTGTGACAAGGCAAATGTTAACTACAAACATGAACAAAGTCCTTTCCTGGGGCTAAAAGTGCAAGGAAGATAATGAAATAGGAGCGTGAGAGGTCGGGCACCTCCTCGGGGGTGGGCTCTGGTTCTATGAGCTTAGACCTGAATGATGGGAAGGAGTCAGCTCTGGGAGAGTCTGGGGGACAGAAACCCAGGCAGGCAGCTCGACCAGTATAAAGGCCCTGAAGCAGCCACACACTATGTATGTTCAAGGAAAAGCAAAGATGCTGGCGTGGCTGCAGGGCCTGGGTGAGGTGGAGATGAGATGGGGGTGGGACCCAGGGGCCTGAGGCACAAGTGACTTTGAAAGAAGGATGTGATGTGGTCCCATTGCATTTGCAAAGTTCCCTGTGGCTGCTGTGGAACAGAAGTTCTGTGGGGCAGAAATGGAGGCAGCAGGGAGGGACGGCGGGGGGAAGCCAGAGCAGGGGTTCTGTTGAGGTGGGTAGGCCCCACGAACTTGGTGCGGGCTGGTTGGATCTTAACTGCCTTTGGGTATCAGGTGGGGCCTGGAGTCTACAGCGAGGACTCAGGGGTCTCAGGACCTGAATTTAAATCCCAGCTCTGATGGTCATTTGCTGAGGGGCCTTGCATGAGTTATAGAGCTTCCTATTCCCCAGTTTCCCCATCTGTCCCAAGCCTGTCTTCTATGGTTGCAGTGGGGATTAAATGAGTTAATATGTGTTGATGCTCAGCAGGGCCTGGCACACAGTAGGTGCCTGAGTCAATCAATGCCAGTTGTGCTGTCTGAGGGGACCCAGAAGGGTTGGGCCTGCTGGGCCCTGGGTGTGACCCTGCTTATCTCCAGGACCTTTGCCCCACTCTGGGAAGTCTTCCGTGTCTCCTCGGACAAGCTGGCGCTCTGCCACCTGGAGCTAACTCGGAAGCTGCAGGACCTCATCAAGGATGTGCTCCGTTACAGCGAAGAGCAGCTCAAGATGCACAAGAAGGTGTGTGCCCGGCAGGGCAGGCGCTGCCTGGCAGGGTGGGCGGGGGACACCCGCGGCTGAAAGCAGCCCAGGCCTTCCGGGGCCTTCAAACCTCCGGCCCCTGGCTTGTGCCTCTGAGAATTCTGGTAATTCTGAAACATCAAACCCAGGACCCCACAGACCAGGGAACTGTCAGATATTTCAGACTTTCAAAATCCTGGACCAGAGGTCTGCACACTGCAGCCGGGGGACCAGGTCTAGACCACGACCTATTTCTATACAGCCCACGAGCTCAGAATGGTTATTACATTTTTAAATGGTGGGTGGTGGAGGGAATCAAAAGAAGAATATTTTGTGAAACGTGAAAATGATATGACACCCAGGTTTCCGTGCCAGTAAATAAAGTTTTATTGGCACAAAGCCGTGTCCATTTGTGTACCATAGTGTGTGTGACTTTTTTCGAGTTGAGTGTCCATGACAAGCAAACCCATTTACTGTCTGTCCTTTTACAGAAAATGCTTGCTAACCCCTGATCTAGATGGTTAGAAGCTACAGACATTATTATTTGTCATTTCTAGACTCTTTTAAACCTAGAATCTTGAAAGATTCAAGCCTTAGACTCTCAGGATATCAAAAAAGCAGCAGCTTATAATTCTAGAGTCATAAGGTGCTTGGCATTTACAGTTTTTAACCCCCATTAACAAGGGGTATTGCCCCACCGGTGTGGCTCAGTGGTTGCACCAAGAGGTCACCGTTCGATTCCTGACCAGGGCACAGGCCCAGGTTGTGGGTTGATCCCCAGTGGGGGGCATGCAAGAGGCAGCTAGTCAATGTTCTTGCTCATCAATGTTTCTATCTCTCTCCCTCTCTCTCTAAAATCAATAAAAGAAAAATAAATAAATAAATAAATAAATAAATAAATAAATAAATAAATAAATGGGTGTTGAGCCCTGGCTGGTGTGGCTCAGTTGGTTGGGCATAATCCTCTGCATGGAAAGGTTGCTGGTTCAATTCCTGGTCAAGACATATTTGGGCTCAATCCCCCATAGGGGGTGTGCAGGAGGAAGCCAATCTATATTCTGCTCTCACATCGATGTTTCTCTGTCCCCCTCTCCCTTCCTCTCTCTCTCAAAATAAAATTTCTAAAAATTCTTTTTTAAAAGGGGGAGTTGGTAGTAGTACTTAATACTGAACACTTACAAATGGTTAAGATAGTAAATCATATGTTTTCTGTATTTTACTACAATTTTTTTAAAAATTGGGGACAGCTCTGGCTGGTTTAGTCCAGTGGCCCTTTGATGAAAGCGTCTTGGGTTAGATTCCCAGTCAAGGGCACGTACCTGGGTTGCAAGTTCCACCCCCGGCCCTGGTCATGGTCATGTAGGAGGCAACCAACCAATGTGTCTCTCTCACATTGATGTTTCTCTCCTCTCTCTCTTTCTCTCTCTCTTTCTCTCTCTCTCTCTCTCTCTCTCTCTCCCTCCCTCCCCCCCCTCCCTTCCACTCTCTCTAAAAATCAATGGAAGAATGTTCTCAGTGAGGATTAATAAAAAATAAAAAATACGGCCTGGCCGTTGTGGCTCAGTGGTTGAGCATCGACCCATGCACCAAGAGGTTGCTGGTTCGACTCCTAGTCAGGTTGTCAGCCAAATTCCCAGTGTGGGGCATGCAGGAGGCAGCCAATTGATGTTCTCTCTCATTGATGTTTCTTTATTAAAAAATTTTTTTTCAAATCCTCACCTGAGGATATTTTTCCATTTATTTTCAGACAGCGTGAGAAGGAGAGAGAGAGAAACATCAGTGTGAGAGAGACACATTGGTTGGTTGCCTCCAGCACGACCCCTACCAGGACCAGGGACCAAACTGCCACCAAGATACATGCCTTTGACTGGAATCTAACCCACGACTCTTTAGTCCAAGGGCCGATGCTCTAATCACTGAGCAAAACCAGCCAGGGCTCTCTCATTGATGTTTCTATTTCTCCCTCTCTCTCTAAAATCCATACAGAAAATAAATAAATAATAAAAATAAAAATTGGGGACAAGCCCTGGCTGATGTGGCTCAGAGGTGAGAGCATCAGCCTGTGCACCAAAAGGTCTCAGGTTTGATTCCCTGTCAAGGGCATGTACTTGGGTTGCAGGTTGATCCCTGGCCCCGGTCGGGGCACATTTGGGAGGCAACCAATCGATGTGTCTCTCTCACATCAATGTTTCTCTCTCCCTCTCTTTCTCCCCCTCCCTCCCTCCCTTCTGCTCTCTCTGAAGAGCAATGGAAAAAATATCCTTGGGTGAGGATTTAATTTATTTATTTATTTTTTAATTTTTTAAAAGGCAAAGACAGGGATAGAGTGAGAAACATCGATGTGAGAGAGACACATTGATTAATTGCCTCCCAAATGACCCCAACCAAGACCAGGGATAAACTGCAACCGAGGTATGTGCCCTTTACTGGAATCAAACCCAGGACTCATTGATCCATGGGCCAACGCTCTACTGCTGAGCCAAACTGTCCAGGGCTTTTTTTTTTTTTTTACCTTTATATTCAGACAGAATGGGAGGGAGGGGGAGAGAGAGAGAGAGAAACACATCAGTTGGATGCCACTTGCACAACCCCAACCAGGGCTGTGGATGAACTGCAACCTAGGTACATGCCCTTGGCAGGAATCAAACCCAGGACTCCCTGGTCTACAGGCCGATGCTCTAACTGCTGAGCCAAACCGGACAGGCTTGGGTGAGGATTTAAAAAATAATAATAATTTAAAAACTGGGAAGAAGGAAGTTTTCTATGGGCTGATGTGGAACAATCTTGGGAATGAACTATGAAATAAAATTTAAAAATCAGTGAGTTAAACAGCACAGACTACTGCAGTTTGTCATTTTTAAAAATGAGTTAAAACAAGCACATTTACTTGTCCATGTGCTGATTACTTCTGGAGACCTATCATGGTGATGATGAGGACACCCAGGCAGAGGCCTGGGAGGCTAGGGACCAGGGTGTGGGAGGTTTTGTTTTTCTGTTTTATTTATTGATTTTTCAAGGTGGAGAGAGAGAGAGGGGGGAACATTGATTTGCCGTTCCACTTATTTATGCATTCATTGGTTGATTCTTGTATGTGCCCTAATCAGGCTTTTTGAATTATGTCTAAATATTACCTATTGCTTTTTTTTTATCCTCACCCAAGGACATTTTTACATTTATCTCCAGATAGAGCTGGAGAGAAACGGGGAAGAGAGGAAAAGAAACATGAATGTGAGAGAGACACATTGAGTGGTTGCAACCCACACGACTCCAACTGGGACTGGAGACAAACTGCAACCGAGGTACATGCCCTTAGCAGGAACCGAACCCAGGACTCTCTGGTCCGCAGGCTGACACTCTAACCGCTGAGCCAAACCAGCCAAGGCACCTATTTCTTTTTTTTTTAAAAAGATTTTTTTTTATTTTGAGAGACAGCTAAAGGGAGAGGGAGAGAAACATCTATGTGAGAGCGAAACATTGATCAGCTGCTTCCTGCACGCCCCCTACTGGGGATCGAGCCTACAACCCAGGCATGTGCCCTGACCAGGAATATTACTGGCAACCTTTCCATGCAAGGGACAGTACCCAACCGACTGAGCCACACTGGCCAGGACAAATATTAACTGTTTTCAAAGTTATAATTTTTGAAATTAAAATAATATTCAGAAAACATTCTCTGTAGGACCTGGAATCCCACAGTGTTTGGGAAGCTGGGAATTTCATGATCTGCACCTGAGGTCTGCTCAGGTCCTGCACCCATGGGTTTCAGGTGGCACCCATGCTCTCCCTTTCCCTCCCTCGCAGTTGAAAGAGGAAGCAGTTGGCACCCTGGATGCCGTGCAGGTCCTCACAGGCGTCAGCCAGCTCCTGCCCAAGTCCCGAGAGAACTACCTGAACCGGTGCATGGACCAGGAGCGGCTGCGAAGGGAGAGCACAAGCCAGAAGGAGATGGACAAGGTGGGCCCATGGCTGCAGGTCCCCAGCTGACACCATCCCACGCAGGTCTGAGGAATTTGCCAAGGCACAGGGGCTGCCTGATGGGAGAGTGAAAACATATCACAGAACTATGGCTATTGATCCTGAGTGTGGTCACCACATCCTGGGTACCCCAAGAAGTCTACCTGCTGGGGGAGGTGTGGGGGAAGCTCCTTGAATGTCCCCTTCCAACCCTGTCCCCTCCCTATGCCTCCTAGGCAGAGACGAAGACCAAGAAGGCAGCAGAGAGCCTGCGGCGCTCGGTGGAGAAGTACAACTCCGCCCGTGCTGACTTCGAGCAGAAGATGCTGGACTCAGCTCGGGTAAGAACCTGAGGTTTATACCCCAGAGACCTACACATCCCTGGGCCCAGGATTCAATGGGCCTCAGAAGTCCAGAAACTCCCACACCCTCAACTCCCAGGAGCCTGAGTCACACGCATATTATTGATATTATTATTTCAAAACCCAGATCATTTTTGTGCCTTGGTTTTTCCACCTATAAAATGGGGACAGTAATAGTACTAGCTCACAGAGTTGTGAAGATGAAATGAATCACTATATGTGAAGTTTTCAGACTAGAACCAGGTACATAGAAACCACTCTGTAGGTATCATTTTGTTATTATTATTGATGAGGTTTTTGAACAAGATAGGGCAGGGTTTAGAATATAAGAGTTTCCTGACATTTTATGGTGGCTGAAAGGCCTGGGTTCTAGTCCAGCCTCCATTCCTTACCAACTATGCAACCTTTTACAAGACACTATACCTCTCTGGGTCTGTATCCTTCCAAATGTATGAAAAGCAGATTGGAATCTCGGGATTAGAAATCAGATTTTTTTTCTGATTTTGCAAGTGATAGAAAGTTAGAAACCTTTACTCAAACTGACGAGGAAGATTTATAGGCTCATGGAATTGAAATGTTTGAGGGGAGGGCTCTAGGCATGGCTGGATCCAGGTGCTCAAATGGTGTTATCAGGAAGTTGTGCCTCTCTCCTTTTCAAGTCTGTTTTTTACTCTCTGGGGCTTCACTCTCAAGCAAACATGCCCTTGGGGGTGTGTGTGAGTGTGTGTGTGTGTGTGTGTGTGTGTGTGTGATTGTGTGTGTGTGTGCGCGCGCGCGCGTGTGCACGCAGCACAGTGGCCACCAGCAGCCTCCACATGATCCCACCAATTCATTGGCTTGAGATATGAAAGTATCCTTTTTCCTATAGTTCCATCAAAAGACCTAGGGCAGACTCTCACTGGCTCTTCCCCAAACCAACGACTGAGGCTGGGGGGGGGGGGGGGGTGAAACATTCTGATTGATCAGGCTGAGTCACATGGCAACTCCTTGTGGCCTCCACCTTTCCATTTGCTCCTGCCCTCCTGCCTCAGCACTTCCAAGCCATGGAAGAGACCCACCTGCGGCACATGAAGGCACTGCTGGGCTCCTATGCCCACTCAGTAGAGGACACCCATGTGCAGATTGGGCAGGTGAGGGGGGCAAGGGGTGGGGCATGAGGGTGGGGGTGCTGAACAAGAGGTCCCTGGCCTTGCCCAGTTACACACCCCACCCATCCTGCCCAGGTTCATGAGGAGTTTAAGCAAAATATCGAGAATATCAGCGTGGAAATGCTGCTGAGAAAGTTTTCAGAAAGCAAGGGCACGGGCCAGGAGAAGCCTGGTGAGTATGGGCATCTGGGGGTCAGGCTGCATGGAAAGAACGAGGTTCAAGAGGCAGAGGACTTCCCTGGGTCTCAGTTTCCTCGACAGAAAAATGGGCTGATGACAAATCTAACTCTGCATCCCACAGAGGGAGAGGATTTGATGCCTGATCTCATGTGTAGATCTATTAAAAACCAGAAAACAGAGGGGCAATGAATGCCCAACTCAGTTGTTCATATTTTACCCCAAGGGCCCAAGGGAGCCATTGCGAGTTGTTGAGCAAAAGACCAATTTGAAACTGCCCAGATGCAGGGTTGGGATAAGACCTGGGTTCAAAACTTTTCTTCATTGCTTTCGGTGAGACCTTGGATATGGGTCTTGACTTCTCTAAGCCTGTTTCTTCATCTGTAAAGTGAGGATGATGGTGGGGTGATTGTTCAGCAGGTAATGGGTGAAGTATATACCTGGCACACGGTAAGAATTCAGTAAATGCTGCTACACAGTCTGTCCCCAAGTTTAGTAAGTACTAAGGTCTGCTCTTGCCCCTCCTCTCTACATAGCTCAGCCCTGGCCCAGGCCACCCCTCCGTGTGTAGGCCCCCACTCTAGCCCTTCACTGGTCCCAGATCACTCATGCCCTGCTTCTGCTCACATACCCTCCATGGCTCCCCATCTCTCTTAGGAGAGTCCCAGCTCCTCTACCTGGCACTTGCTGCCCAGCCCATTGCACAGACTTGTGGTCCATTCCCTGACCCACCCAAGTTCCATCCAGAGAAGCTGGAAGTAGAAATAACTCAGGCATCACCACAGAACCCTTGGCCCATCCCACTCATGACCATCTCTGGGGCTGGTTCAGCATCTTGGCTCATGTGTGGCCAAGGGTGTACTGCTACCCTTCCCAGGCCCAGGCTCCCTCTCTGCTGAGTCTCAATCTCTTTGTCTCAGGGCCTTTGGACTTTGAGGTGTACAGCGCAGCTGCCCTGCAGGAAGGCAAGTACGTCTGGACCTGGATACCCAGGCTGGACTGTGGGGAAAAGGGAGGCAGAGCTGAATGGGAAGGGGGCACCCCCAGGGCTCAGCTGCACCTATCCTTTAACCTTAGCGATGAAACGCTTGCGCGGAGCCAAGGCCTTTCGCCTCCCAGGACTGAGCCGGCGGGAGCGGGAGCCACCTACAGCTGTGTGAGGAAGCACCCCTGACCAACACTGGCCCAGGCTAGCCCAGGATCCCTTCTCCCTCAGGCTATCCCAGAAGTCCCCTGCTTAGGGTAGCCCAGGAGTATTCTTACTCCAGGCTGTACACGGAGTGCCTGTGTCCAAGGCTCTGTCCAAGGCTAGCCCTTCACTGGTATTACCTGCCCAAGGTAGTCCAGAATTCTTCCTTCTGCCAAGGCTAGACCAGGGGCTGCCTGCCCCAGGCTCACCTAGGGTAACCCCTGCCCAGGCTGGCCCAGGATTCTTCCCTTTGTCAAGGTTAGTCCTGCTATTTCCCCAATTAATCTACCCCAGAAGTTCTTACTTTGCCAAGATGAGCCTGGGAGTCTCCCTGCCCAAATTAGTACCCAATTATTCCCTAAAACCCTGGTTTCCCTGGCTACTCCAGGATTACCCTTGTCCAGGCTAGCCCAGGATTATTCTCTTTTCTAAGGCTAGTCTCTACACTCCATGTCTTCTCAGGCCAGCCCTTCAAACTAGCTCCAGGTTTCCTCCCCTCCCACGCTGTTTGAGCACACCCCATTGCTCTGCTAACTCCAGACACACTGCCCTAGGCAAGCCCCCGATCCCGCCACCTGCAGGGCCAGCCCAGGACATTGTTGACATCCAAGCCCAACCCCTCAGTTGCCATTTCCAGTGTTGGGGGCCAAGGTCAGGGCAGATGAGGTGGGGGATCTGATACCAATATTTCTTTTTTTATCTGCAGAGATACTTCGGGGCCTGATTCAGGGGTGAGTGCCATCAGGGTTATTTTTAGGTCTGAGTCCGGCCCGCGAGGGGAGGGGGGCGGATGCAGGGTGAAAGTCAAGGTTTAGTTGGGAAGAGCCTGACTCACGACTTATCCTCCCAGGCGTGTCCAGAGGTGGATGAAGAAGGTTTCACTGTCCGGCCAGATGTGACCCAGAACAATATCCTCCTGGCACCCTCTGGGGGCAATTGTTGGCATAGCAATGACAAAGCTCTGTCCACAGTGGTTTCTCTACCATTAACAACCTTCTTTGCATATACCCTGGGGGGAGCCTCTAGTGTGGACAAAGCAAATCCAAATGCAGATACTCATGCCATTCTGGGTCCTGGGGATATATAACCAAGATAGATCGCTCTTCTCAGAGCTACATTCTAGTGGCTCAGATTTTAAGAATAACAAGTAAGTGAGAGCATATTCAATACTTCAATACCCTGTGGGGTCATGGGTGGGCAAGAGGGAGAGAGGAGGAGCTGGGTTACAATAGTGGGGTATCCAAGAGGGCTTCCTGGGAGAAGAGGCACCAGTGTTGGGGCTTAATTGAATAGGAGCTCACTAGTTAGGGCAGGGCCTGCTTGTGCAAAGGCTTGGATGGGGGAGGAGTAGGGGGTAAAACATGGTGTCAAGGTCAATGGTGACAACTGGTGAGAAAGAACTCTGCAGGGCCTCAAAGGGTTTGAACAGGAAGGGATGTGGTCAGATTTGAGGGCTGACTAGATGGAAACCCTGAATTGGAATCTGTTTGGCCCCTTGACTGAGGCGCACGCACAGCTGAGCCCTCCCGCTTCTCATCCAGTGACTCCGACTTTGACGACGAGGAGCCCCGCAAGTTCTATGTGCACATCAAGCCCGCCCCAGCCCGGGCTCCAGCCTGTAGCCCTGAGGCAGCTGCTGAGCAGCTCAGGGCCACGGCTGGCAGCCTCATCCTCCCTCCAGGCCCAGGGGTGAGGCTCAGGAGAGGTGTTCCAGGTGGGGCTTGTGGGGCTGGCTAGATGCACCCAACCTGATGCTACCCACTTTGTCCACAGGGCACCATGAAACGCCAGTCTTCACGTGAGTAGACTATTCAGGGGTCTTTGGTTTGGGGAGGAGAACATGAAGCGGAGACTGGGCCTGAAGTATGGGTGTGGGTTAGAGTCCCAGCTCTGCTGTGTGACTGGGGCAGGCTGCTTACCCACTCTGACACTCAGTCTCCTCTTCTATGAAATGAGGTCATTATGAGAATTAAATGAGACCAAAAGGAGTACTTGGAAAGAAACCAAAACCTGGAGACAGCATGGCTCAGATTCAAATCCCTCTCTGCCTGATTTGGTCCCTCTGGCCAGCTGGCTAGATAGATCCAAGACTTGGTCTCTGGGCCTGTGGAGTAGGGAACACTGCGAGCAGGGCGACAAGGCTCAGGGAGGTCCATCTCTCGTAGGGGACGCTGCTGGGAAACCACAGAGGCCCCGATCGGCCCCGAGGGCCAGCAGGTGAGTTCCATAGGGTGGGACATTGGGTCAACACAAGTGAGCAGGTGGGCCATTCCCATCTTCTCTCTCCACCTCCCTGGCTCCTCCCTGTCTCTCTCTCCCCTTCTCTCATCCAGGCAGGGAGTTGAGGCTGTGCTGTTTTTTGAGAGACCACTTAGTGATTCATTTGATAAACATTTATTGAATGCCTACTGTGTACTCATGCCATTCTGGGTCCTGGGGATATATAACCAAGATAGATCGCTCTTCTCAGAGCTACATTCTAGTGGCTCAGATTTTAAGAATAACAAGTAAGTGAGAGCATATTCAATACTTCTAAGTGTTCAGAAGAAACTAAGGCAGGTGACGTGATGGAAGGTAGGGGTGGTGACTTTTGCTGGGCTAGTAGTGGAGGACCTCTGGGGTTGTGGAGGGAACGACTTTGAGCTGAGCCCTGAGGAGAAATAGGAGTGGCCACAGGGAGAACTGGAAGAATGGAGGCCAAACCAAGGGCAGCATGTGCAAAGGCCCTGAGGTGAAAGGAGGCACGGAAACAGTAGAATAGCCCCTCTTGTCCGATTGGTTCCCAGCTGTACAGAGAAGCTGCAATCAGATGAGCAAGTTTCCAAGAACCTCTTTGGGCCACCCTTAGAGTCAGCCTTTGACCACGAAGATTTTACAGGTGATGGGGGTAAGGGCTTCAGGGGGCATGGGTGTTGCCAGCAGGAGGATGGATGGAGCCATTGCAAGGGTAGATGGCTCAGGTGGGCAGGACAGTGGGCTGTGCTTGAGGGAGGATGTAGGGGTCCTTTGTGGGTCAGAGGGAAGAGGGATGGGGCCAGGTCAGTGTGGGGGTGGGCAGAGCCACAGCATGCATGGGAAAAGCCGGAGAGAAGGTGAAGCCTCTTGTTAGTGGGGGTGGCAGTGGGTGGGTAGGGCATCAGTGAAGACAGAAGTGACCAGAAGGCATGGCCTGGGGTGGGGCATGAGCACTGGCTTTGAATGGGGGTGAGCCTTTTTCAGTGTGGGTGTGGCCTGCAGGAAGATGGCAGGACCCCTGTGGGCAGGGTCTGGAGCTGGCTGTCCCCTTTCCCCCCAGGCTCCAGCAGTCTCGGCTTCACCTCTAGCCCCTCGCCTTTCTCCTCCTCATCGCCGGAGAACGTGGAGGACTCTGGCCTGGACTCACCGTCCCACACAGCACCTGGCCCCTTCCCAGATTCCTGGGTTCTCTGCCCAGGCACCCCGCAGAGCCCAACTAGCAATAGGGCGCAGCCACCTGAGTTGAGGGGAACGCGGGCCCTGCTGTCATCGGACTCGCCACAGCCCCTTGTGGCATCCTCAGGCCCCTGGGTGCTGGAGGCTGTGGCTGGAGGAGGTAAGTCCAGCAGCCAGGAACTGTTATCAGAGCCCTGGCGGAAAGATGGAGCACCTACCATGATCAGTGCCCGGGGTGCTGGGGACAGAGCTGAGACCAAAGCTGGCAGAAACCTCCACCCTTGCAAGAACAATAATGAGATGGATATTTAACAAGGCAGGAAGTGGCAGGGGCCTGATATGGGCTCCCAAGGGTAGGATCCTCCCAGAGGAGGGATAGCTGAGCTGTAATGTGATGGAGGTGAGGGTGAAGTTCTTTAGATGTGGGGAGGGGCGTTCCCAGCAGAGGGTGCAAAGGCAATGGGGTGGGAGCGGCTCGGCCCTTGATGAACAGTAGGGAGGCTGGTGTGGCTGGAACAGAGAGATGATGAAGGAGGGAGAGGAGGGGAGGAGATGTCAGCAGGGACATGGGAGCAGGCACGGGGAGGCCGCCAGGGTCAGGAGAGGACAAGAGAGAGTCCAAGGCTGAGCTGAGGCAGGGCCAGAGGTGGCGGGAAGAGAGCAAGAAGGAGTGGGTTCCTACAGGTCACATGAGGAGAGTGGAGTCCCCTTTGCATTTAGAGAAGCTGCGGGCTGGGACCACAGGAGGACTCCAGCTGTGGTAAGGGGCGCTTGGTGTCGTCCACGGTTAGAGAAAGACCCTGGTTGCAGCTGCTTCAAGGGAGGGCCTAGGAATGCGAGTGTAGATCACCAGCGCAGATGAGTTGTCAGAGCTTCACTGCAGAACAGGGATTCGAAACCAGGCCAGTTCTGCCCCCCAGGGCACACTCAACAATGTCACCACTGACATTTGATTGTCACCTCTGGGGGGATGGGTACAACTAGCATCTGGTGGATCAAGGCCAGGATGCTGCTCAACATCCTACAATACAGTACAGAGGATGAAACCACCTCCGAAAATGACCTGCAATGTCAGCAATGCTGCTGAGAAGCCCTGGAGGAGAGAGGAACTGGCCTGGAGGGCGAGAGGAAGCAGGCGGGTGGGCAAGTGTTTGTAGATGGAGCAGAGCAGGGGACAGAGGAGGCAGGAGAGTGAGGAGAACCTGGATGTGAACACCATGATTAGTTAACTTAGAAGGTGAGACTCAGAGGTGGGCCAGGTAGGAGGCCACCCTTGTACTCCCAGAAAGGATGAAGGTTGTAGAATTGCTGAAAGTTAGAGAAAAACCCTCTTTCAAATCCCTGCTGTGGCATGCCTGCCTCCTGAACATCCACGCCTTGCTAGCATCCCCCCAGTAACAGGAGCTCACCCCTCATTAGGCCCCCAGTATGGTGTCTGGGAGGCTTAGGGTTGTGGATGGCGTCTGCAGTCCTGTCTGGCATCTTCTCTGTAGCCCCAGGACTTTAGACCATCAGGAGTTCTCCCCACAATAAGTCTTACTCCCAGTTTTTGATCGAGTTCCTCCCCTGGGAAGGCCCAAGAGGCCCAGGGCAGCATCGCAGCCATATCTTTCTCACACTCACTCCCAGACCTGAGGCCCGTACCTGCCGACCTTACAGCCGTGGAGGGCCCGGCAGCTCGACCCCGGAGACCCCACTCCAGGAAGGTGTCCTGCCCCTTCAGGAACAGCAACGGGGATCTGGTAGGGTGAGGGAGCATGGCAGCAGCTGGGCTGGGGTTGCCTCCAGGATCAGCATCAGGACATTGCTCCTTGGTGTTCACAACCCAGCCTATCTCCTTCCCTTCCAGTCTCATTCTCTGAGCTCCTCCCCACTGGGCTCTTCAGTCCCCAGCACTGTCCCAGAACGTTCCAGCTTCTCATCCCAGGCAGGACACGGTACATGTGGGTTTCACCTTCTCTGGTCTGGGGTGGGGGCTAAGTGATACAATAGAGGCTCTATTGGCAGAGGGCAGGTTCTGGAGCCTGAAACCTGTGCTCACTCTCCTGACTGCCCTTTATTCCCTCCTGCCCGCCCCAGGAATCTCCCGGGGCCCGAGCCCTGTGGTCCTGGGTTCACAGGATGCCCTGCCCGTGGCCACCGTCTTCACTGAGTATGTCCATGCCTACTTCCGTGGCCACAGCCCTAGGTATGCGGTGCTGGGGGACAGTGTGGACAGTGAGAGGCAAACGGGGCTCCCTGGGGGCTGTGTCTGGGTTCCAGCAGGGACAGCCTTCAGACGTGTTTCATGACCCACTTTACCATGGAAGGGCCTTGAACACTAAGCTGGGCAACAAGGCCCCTCTCCTTAAGGGCAGTGGGAGCAACAGAGGGCATTGGACAGGGCTAGGCATTGTGTGTGGTCACCGTTTAGAGGAACTCCTGCAGCGACTGTGGGCATCAACCTGAGGGGGGAGACCGGAGACCAGTCCCATGGAGGAGGTGGGTGAAGGGTGAACTGAGGGACCAGGGACAGTCTGGGGGCAATGCCCAGAAGAAAAGAACTTCAAGTCAAACCAAAAAAAAGGAAGAGAGGCCTTGGCTGGTTTTTCTCAGTGGTTAGAGCATCAGCCCACGGACCAATGAGTCTCGGGTTCGATTCTGGTCAAGGGCACGTACCTCAGTTGTGGTTTGTCCCCGGCCCTGGTCAGGGTCATGCGGGACACAACCAATCGATGTGTTCCTCTCACATCAATGTTTCTCTCTCTCCCTCCCTCCCGCTCTATCTGAAAATAGTTGGGACAATATCTTCAAATGAGGATTTAAAAAAAAAGAGGAAGAGAGCATTAGATCTGAAACCCACCTGAGGACAGTTAAAAAACTGAATTTTCGTTGTGAACTTCCTGGTGGCCTAGGGGTAAAGAGAACGAGGGAAAGAGGTGCTCCTGCCTCCTTTGGCCCAGTGTGGATTCTTCCTGGTGCCTGGATTTTTGTTCAGGCAGGGATATAAGGGGAGGAGGCTGGGGGTAAGGATGCTAGACATAGTCAGGGCCTTGCGCTGCTGCAGACCCAGGGAGCCACAGACTACAGTGGAGCCAGGAGGGAGGGAAGGATGAGGTGCCAGGCAGAGCCCTGAGCCAAAGCCCAGTCCCCCCATCTCTCACCCAGCTGCCTGGCTCGAGTAACTGGGGAGCTGACCATGACCTTCCCAGCTGGCATTGTGCGTGTATTCAGCGGGACCCCCCCGCCACCGGTCCTCAGCTTCCGTCTTGTACACACAGCCCCCATCGAGCACTTCCAGCCCAATGCTGACCTGCTCTTCAGGTACTGTTGGGTGGAGGGAGGCCAGAACAGGGGTTCCCAGAGCCTAGTGGGGGCCAGGACCTCCCCAGCCATAAATTCCTCCCTGCCTCCCAAAATTTGCTGTGTCCTTGGCAAGTCCCCCCCCTCTCTCTGGGTCTCACTTTTCTGCCCTCGTTTGCTTCCCTCACGACCACATTTTGCTGGATGACCCAGAAAATCAGCATCTTTAGGAAGCCCTTAGGGTAGGTGGGATGCTGGGGACCCTGAGAAGACTTCTGAGGGTGGCAGTAATTATTCCGGGTCTCTGCAGTGACCCCTCCCAGAGCGACCCTGAGACCAAAGACTTCTGGCTCAACATGACAGCCCTGACCGAGGCACTGCAGCGCCAGGCAGAGCAGAATCCAGCTGCCTCCTACTATAATATAGTGCTGCTGCGGTACCAGGTGGCCTGGTGGATGGGATGGGCAGAGGCGAGGCGGCAGGGAGGGGATAGTGGATGGGGCACAGGGAGGGGATGGGCAGGGCAGAGGTGACAGGGAAGGGATGGGGCGGGGGCAGGGTAGGCAGAGAGTAAATGGTGGCCGGATAGGCTGTGTAGAGAACCAGGTCTCATCATTATGCACATTAGAAGTGCCCCTCCCAGGACCTTTCACTGGTACCTGTCTACAGACTTTATTAGAATGGGGCCCTCCCCTGCCCTCTGCTGGAAGTGTGGTGTAATGCAGAGTCCTATCTGCAGTCTCCAGGAAAGCGTCTCTTGGGGTGGTGTGTGCAATGCAGACTCAAGCTGGAGCTGGTTGGTAGTGCACAGTGTGGCAGGACTGGATGGCCCAAGTTATGTTGTCTCTCCTGTTCTCTTTCTAGTTCTCCCGCCCGGGTCCCCAATCCGTGCCTCTGCAGCTGAGCGCCCACTGGCAGTGTGAGGCAACCCTCACTCAGGTCTCGGTGGAGTACAGTTACCGGCCCGGTGCCACGGCTGTGCCCACGCCACTCACCAATGTCCAGATCCTGCTGCCTGTGGGAGAGCCTGTGACCAATGTCCGCCTGCAGCCAGCTGCCACCTGGTGAGGGCATGTGGAAGTCCTAGAGAGGCTCAGCGGTGCCCCTGAATCTCCCAACCCTCCCCTTGATTAAGCAACTAAAGGATCCGCCCTGGACTAACCCGTCACTGTGAGCATGTACTGCTTATAGCTGAGGGTGCTATTATTAAACAGTAATAATATCTGGCACAGAGAATTTCCTCTGTGTCAGGCGTGTTCCATGGGCTCTGCACATACCAATTGGCTTAAGGCTCTTAGCAATCCCTCTGGGTGTAGTCTGCCATCATCTGCATTTATGGAAGGGGAAACTGAGGCACAGGGAGGCTAACTTGCTTATCTACAATCACATCAGGATTTGAATCCAGCCCCAATGTGCCTTTGTTTTGTATAAAGGATAGAACTGCCACAAAGAAGCCAGACTTATAGGACCAAATGCATCACCTAAAATGCTGTAAGGCTGCGGGGTCCTTGGGGACCAGTGGCTCCACATCCCACCCCTGTTTCATAGATGGGGAAATTGAGGCAGGGGAGGGGACCTGGCTTGATTGGGTCATATAGCTGAGAGGCAACTGAGCTGGGACTCTGGGTTCTAAGTGTTCTTTCTGAGGTTGACCTGACCAAGCTTCTTTTGATGCCAGGAACTTGGAGGAGAAACGGCTCCTATGGAAGCTTCCAGATGTGTCTGAGGCAGGGGGTGAGTTATGGTTGTACATCAGGTCTCAAGGGTCTCAGGTAGGAGGCTTATTTAAACTGGGGAGAGTTGGGGGTATGCTGGGGATAGGGAAGTATGGACATGTAGACAGGCTTGGAAGCGCTTTGACAAAGCTGGAGGAGAGGCATACTGGGAGTGGGCACAGCAGGTGCAAAGGCCCTGAGACAGGACTCCTTTGCAAACTACACACAGACTCTTGGGGCCAAAGGAAAAGGGTGCAGGGGCACAAGCGGAGGGCAGAGGGGAAGAGAGGCCACAAGTCAAAGCAGGGCCAAGGAAGAGTCTTGGTCACAGTGGGACTGGGGCCAGGGATGGGATACAGCTGACCTCAGGCCTCCTTAGGCTCTGGCCGTCTGTCTGCCAGCTGGGAGCCGTGCTCAGGGCCCAGCATGCCCAGCCCCGTGGCTGCTCAGTTCACCAGCGAAGGGGCCACTCTGTCGGGCGTGGACCTGGAGCTGGTGGGCAGTGGCTACCGCATGTCACTGGTAAAGAGAAGGTTCGCCACAGGTATGCCCCCTCTCTACTGCCCACATCTTCCAGGGAGCCAGGCCTATACTGTGGTCAAGCTCCACCCCCTGCTTCCGCCAGGATGCAGAGGATGGGGGAGGCATTTGGGGTGTTTGGGAAGGATAGGTGGGTGTCAGGTCTCAAAACCCAGAGTGGGGTGGTCAGAGGCAGGGAGGGGTAGACAAGGTCCCATGGGAGGGGTCAGGAAGGAAGGTGAATATTTATGGGCTGTCCCCTGGAGGGTGGATGTCCTTGCAAGGATCCAAGGCCCTGAACCAGAAGCAATAATAACCTCACCCCACTCTCCTGCCCCCACAAGGGGCTGCTGGGGTCCGTGGGGCAGTGGATTAAGGAATGTTTTGAGAAAGATTGGGGGTCCCAGAGTAGGGACAAGCGACCCTCCTCCCACTCACGGCCTCACCCCCACAGGGATGTACCTGGTGAGCTGCTGAGCCTGGGAAGCTGACAAGCCCGCTGGCCCCAGCTCTGCAGAGTCCTGGTGCTTGGTGATGGCTCCCTGCCTGCCTGCCGGATCCTGGGGTCCCAACCTGGCCTCCTCCAAGGCCCTGGCTCTGTGGAGAGGAGCCCCATGCCCAGCCTGGCTGAGCGTGAGATTCACTCCTGCTCATACCAACTCCCACACAGGTCCTTGGACTTTTAATGTTCTTTGAATAAACACTTTATTTTCTAATAAAATCATTTTCCTGCTCCTGGAAGTTTCCTTACCATTGCCAGAGAGGAAAAGAAGAGAAGATGGATGTGTGGAGGAGATCTAACATCCCTGATGTTCCCCCTTCCTCCCCCCGCCCACTCCCACCTAGGCTGCGTAGAGTGACACTAGGGCAGAAAAAGCCAGATACAGACATCCCCAGACCCATGGACACCTCCTGTCCCATGGACTCAGAACTGGGCTGGTGGAAGGAACAAGGACTAGAGGAACCTGGGGGGGTTGGGGGTATCAGGAAGACTCCCTAAGGAGGGGGTATTCTAAATGGGGCTTTGAGGTAGGAATATAAGGTTGTGAGATGGGGATGGGCACCCCAGGCAGGGAGATAGTGAGTTGTGAGTTCCTTGAGAAAGCAATTAGTCAATCTATGAATATCAATTGAGTACCTACTGTATGCCAGGCAGTAAGGACCCAACTGAGCAGGAGAAAGCAGCTGTAAGCCAAAAGCCTGGGTTTAGAGCCTTCTTGGTGGCTGTGTGACTTTGAGCAAAGTAACTTGACCTCTCTGGGCCTCAGTTTCCTCAGCTGGGTGGCTGAGGGGAGATCACACGCTTCGACAGGCCCTGGTACAGAGGAAGCACCTCAACAGTGCTGGTAGCTTTTCACTGATGGGAGCTAGAGAGGGGGTGGACCTCAGTGCAGGTGGGCAAAAGTGGCCCGATTGGGGCCCAGGACATGCATGGTCACCAGCATACTGTGGTGGGGAGCAGATTTGAGCTCAGTGGAAATTCCTGGGTTCTACCCATGTCATAGGCCCCTGTATGAGGGGATACTATTCATCACCACCTCCTGGTGGCTTTAATTTGCTTTCTTTGGGTCACAAGTGAGGTTGTTCATCTTTTAAAACAAAATATTTACCAAGTGTGGTCTTTTTAACTGCCTGGCCATCCAGAACTGGTGTGACATGGCAGGGGGAAGGTTGGGATGCCTATTGAACTCGCTAACCCAGGGTGGGGAGGCTGGCATTTTATGATACCCCAGTCTCCCATGCCTGGGAAGCCCAAAACCTCGCAGAGGGACACAAAGTGATTAGGTCACTTGCCAGGAGCCACCCCAGTTGGTGAGTGGTGTAGTTGGGACTTTTTTTTAAATGAAGGTGAAATTCACATAACAAAATTAATCATTTATAGTGACCAATTGAGTAGCATTTTGCATATTCACAATGTTGTGCAACCACCGCCTTGATAAAGACTAACTGGGCCCTGGCCGGTTTGGCTCAGTGGTTTGAGCGTCGGCCTGCAGTCCAGACAGACCGGGGTTCGGTTCCCGCTAAGGGCATGTACCTCGGTTGCAGTTTGTCTCCCACCCTGGTTGGGTCATGCAGGTGGCAACCACTTGATGTGTCCCTTTCACGTTGATGTTTCTCTCTCTCTCTCTTCCTCTCTCTCCCTCCCACTCTATCTGAACAAAAAACGAAAAAATGTCTTTGGGTGAGGATTAAAAAAAAAAGACTAACTGGAACCGTAAGTAAACAATCAGTCTGAAGGTCTATGGAAGGAACTGGGGCTTATGAAAGTTCTTGTAAATCATGAGAATCTCGCATACTGGAATCCTGCAGGAAGAACTCTGTGTTTATAATAAAGCTCTATGGTTCTAAAGTCCCCTTCTCTTAACTTCCTTTTCCCTTGTATAAATATTCCGCCATCTCGGCACACGGGCCAGAGTGTGCACTAGGCTTGCCATACCTGCACGCACTGGGTTGCAACCCCTTATTTTCCCAAATAAATCCTTTGGTGATGAAACACCTAGTTGATACTATTTGTCAGTTGACAACCTCTAGTTTCAAAACATTCCGCCCTGGCCGGTTTGGTTCAGCAGTTAGAGCATCAGCCTGCGGTCTGGAGAGACCCGGGTTCGGTTCCCGCTAAGGGCACATACCTCAGTTACAGTTTGTCCCCGGCCCTGGTTGGGTCCTGTGGGTGGCAATCACTCGATGTGTCCCTTTTATGTCACTGTTTCTCTCTCTCTCTCCCTCCCACTCTATCTGAACAAAATATCAAAAAATGTCCTTGGGTGAGGATAAAAAAAAAATCAAAACATTCCATCACCCTCAAAGACGACCCCATTCCCATGAGCAGTCACTCCCTATCCTCCCACCCCTGGCAACCACTGATCTGCTTTCTATCTCAATGGATTTGCTGTTCTGGACATTTCATATAAACAGAATCACACACCACGTGGCCTTTTGCGCCTGGCTTCTTTCACTCAGCATGTTTTCAGGTCCATCCACATTGTCACTCCTCTTTGACTGAGTAATATACCACTGCGTGTTTGAGCTACATTTTGTTCATTCTTCATCAGCTGATGGACACTTGGGTTTTTTCTACCTTTTGGTGATCATGACTAGCACTGCTATGAACATATGTGTGCAGGGATTGGTGCGAACACTTGTTTTGGATTATTTTTCATGGCTACCTAGGAATGTAATTGCTGAGTAATCTGATAATAATAGTTCAGATTTGAACTGGGGCCCTTCAGTGTCAGAATCTGCCCTGGGATCTCTGGAGCCACTCTGGGGGTGGGAGGGTCTCTTTTCCTGGAACCCTAACAAGGTAAACCTGTTTCCTAAGGCCAGCAGGTCTGGGTACAGAACTCACTTCCTCCGCCCTGAATGCAGGATTAGATCCCTGGACCCAGACCTCCTGACCCCAACCTGCCAAGAATAGAAATTTCTAGAGACTCAGAGAGACATTGCACTGAGTGGGTTGGGTCGGGGGTGGAGGAGTGGAGGGGTGTTGAATCTTCAAATGGGGCTTGCAACTTCCGGAATCTTTCCAAATGCCGTGGCCTCTGTCTGGGTTCTCGGTTTTTAGGGTTTGCAAACTTCCAACCCCTTGCAGAGACCTGAAGAACCACTAGGTTCAAACTGCCTCCTGCCCCTTTCTATCCATTTTCCACGTTGGACCAGCTCTGGGTGGGGCCCTGTGCCAGGGCTGAGAAGGTGCAGCTTGCACACCACCAGCGGTGGGGAGCTCACTATCTGACTGTGGGTTGGACTCAGGTGGGATTGTGAGCCCAGAGGACAAGGGAGGCCAGAAGAGGATAGACGGCAGAGAGAACTGGGCCTGGAAGGGGAAAGGGGCGGGGCCGGGGAGGGAAGGAGGAGCCAGCTGGGGCAACCGACCAGTCAGCAGGGAAACAGCCCAGCTGGTGGCGGGGGAAGGTGGGGTGCCGGCAAGAGGCGAGGCTGGAAGTGAGGCAGGAAAGATCCAGGCCGGGGACCCTGGCTCATGCTCAGGTGAAACTTTCCCTCCTGGTCTCCAGCTAAGAGGAGCAGGTGTTGGAGACTGGGCCGTGTCTGGGGGTGAGTGTTGGGGTTTCTCGAGGACCTGGTGGATCCCCGTGGTGGGAGGGAGGAAGTGGGGGCTCCAGGGGTACCCCGGCAGGGTCTGGGTCAGGTCTCCTAGAGCTTTAACCGAGAACCTGCAAGGAGATCCTGAAGCCCACCCCCCTTACCCGTCTCAAAGTAGCCGTGGCCCTCACTCATCCCTAATATAACCCTGGCTTTTCCAAGGCTTACTCGGACCTAGCTGGGAAGGAAGTCCCCCACGCCTGGGGGAGGAGGGAAACCGAGGCCACCTGGGACTCCGGCATCCATGACCCCTGCACTGTCCGGATAGACACAGTGAGGTGACCCTGGACCCCTGCCCCCACCCTGCCCTCCTCCCAAGATGGAGCGGGATCAGAAAGAGGAGTGGAGAGCTTCCTGTATGCTCTGGCCACTGCTATTACTGTTGTCTTCTTGTTGGTTTGTAGGGACACTGATTGGGAGGTTCTGGGCAGGTGTAACACCTAGGGCCCCAGGTGGGGTTTATTACTGTTACTTGAAGAAACTGCTGCTGACCTCCAGCCTCTTCCATTGCCCCCAGCCCTGCCAGGCATTGGCCACATTTAGGCCTGAGGACCCCAGCTCACCCCTTCCGCTGGGGTTCAGATCCCTGCTCAGCCAGTACCTAACTGTGTGTCTTGAGCAGGTTGTTCCTGGTCTCTAGACATGCCTCTGTTTCCCCTCTGTGAGGTAGGACAATGGCCCAGCTCCCTTTAGGATGTACAAGGTGTTCATCAGGTAGAAACTTTCATGATTAGGGTACTTCTGGCCACTGGGGGACCTCGAGTGAGTGACTTTGGGTCTCTGAACCTCACTTTCCCTAGGATTTCAAGCAGAGCTCATGGTGTGAGTGAAAGTGGTAAAGATGAAATTAATCAGTAAGACCTATAGCTGTTCAGTGGGTGTCCCGGGAACTTCGGCCATCACCATAACTATGTGAACAATAACTATTATTAGTATTATTACAATTACATCATTAGTTAGGTACTCAATCAACTTTTCCTCTGGATCAGACTTTTTTTTTCATGGCCACTTTTCAGATGGGGAAACGGAAAATACTCCACCCGACCCAGGCCAGGGCCTCCTGTCGTCCAGATCTGCGAGTCAGGGTCTAGGGGGAGTTGACCAGATTTGGAGCCAGCCCTGGGAGCTTCCCAGGAGGCAAGGCTGCTGCCACACCTGGCAGGGTGAGGGGTCCAAAGAAACAAGTGTGCCTCCTATGTCAACCAGTTAGGCCCCAATGTGACCTAAGTGTGTGGCTGATGTTTACCCAGCCCAGCCTGACCCCTGTTTTTCCCTTCCCCTTATCCCAAGGGCATGGTGGCCCCAAAGGTGTGGGGAAACCAAGAAGGGACCTCAGAGATTCTCTGCTCTAGGCCAAAGCTCAGGGAACCCAGATAAGCCAGCTTGACCCCAGGATGTAAGATACCTCTGGGTGACTTCCTGCTGTACCCTCTAAGGTCCAGATTGGAGCAGCAACATGTCCCCACTCTCACACCCTGTGAACCAGGAAGGATGCCCATTTTTATCCCTCCTGATGGGAGTCTAGCTGGGCTTGATTGCCCACCCCTCTCCATGAGTAGCTCACCACCAACATAGCAAACTAAA